TATCATAAGCAACAAGCTGTTCCGTTTGTTATATACGCTGATTTTGAAGCTATTACAGAAAAGATATCTGGTTGCCAACAAGATAATGGTAACTCATATACAGAAGCCTATCAAAAGCACACAGACTGCGGCTATGGATATAAAGTCGTTTGTTGTTATGATGATAAATACAAAAATTCAACTATATAGAGGTGAAAAGGCTGTTTACAAATTTATGGAAGCTATGTTAAAAGAAGTTAAATATTGTAAAAAATAATGAAAACCCACTTTAATAAACCATTAAAATGACATCTGATGATGAAGAAGAATTTAAAAAGCTGATGAATGTCATATCTGTAACAAAAATATACTAACAAAGATATTCGAGTTCGAGACCATTGTCATATCACTGGAAAATACAGAGGCTCAGCACATCAAGATTGTAACTTAAAACTTAGAATAGACCTCTGATAAATTAAAGATCCCAGTAATATTTCACAATCTGTGGGGTATGACAGTCACTTCATAATGCAAGAAATCGGAGCTATTGTTAATAAGCATACATACAAAAACAAAAAGGTGAAGAAACGCATATGAATATAAATGCTATACCTAATAACATGGAAAAATATATGGCTTTCATGTTAGGTAACCATTTAACATTTCTTGATAGTTTTCAATTTATGAGCTCTAGTTTAGAAAGCTTGTTAGTAACCTACCTAAAGAATCATTTAAATACACCTCTAAGCAGTTTCAAGGTGAAAACTTAATTTAATGACTAAAAAGGTATATACCCATATGATTATATGGATAGCTTTGAAAAAGTTTGATGAGGGTTGCCTTCAAAAAAAGACTTTATAGTATTCTTACTGATGAGAATATATCAGATGATTCTTATAAGCATGCTCAAAATGTTTGGAATACATTCAATCTCAAAAACATGGGTGATTATCACGACCTGTATCTGAAATCAGACGTTTTGTTATTAGCTGATGTATTTGAAAACTTTCGAAAAACATGTCTTGAATATTATAAATTAGACCCATGTCACTATTTCACATCTCCTGGGTTGTCGTGGGATGCTATGTTAAAGATGACAGATATTAAATTAGAATTAATGACTGATATTGACATTTTTCAATTCATTGAAAAAGGTATGAGAGGAGGTATTTCTTATATTTCTAACCGATATGGTAAGGCAAATAACAAGTATATGAAAACATTTGATAAGAATAAACCCTCAAAATATATAATGTATCTTGACGCTAATAATTTATATGGATGGGCTATGTCACAATACTACCTACTGGTGGTTTCAAATGGTTAACTGAGAACAGATTAACAACATAAACCTTAAGCAAATATCAAGCAGATAGTAAAAAAAGGTTTAATTTTAGAAGTTGATTTAGAATACCCTGAAGAACTACATAATTTACATAACGATTATCCTGTAGCACCTGAAAAGTTAAGGTAACTAGTGACATGTTGTCAAAATATTGTAAGACAATTGCTTCTAATTACAATATATCAACAGGTTTAGTTTCAAAATTAATACCTACATTACAAAATAAATACAAGTATGTACTACATTATAGAAATCTTCAATTATATTTAGATCTTGGGTTAAAATTAAAAAAGTAATATTAGAGTATTGAATCAATCTCCATGGTTGAAAAAATACATAGACTTTAATACTCAAAAAAGAACTAATGCAAAAAATCCTTTTGAAAAAGACTTCTTCAAACTTATGAATAATAGTGTTTTTGGTAAAACGATGGAGAACCTTCGTAAAAGAGTAGATGTTAGACTAGTAACTAATAAAGATAAATTATTAAAATTAGCTTCAAAACCTACTTATGTAAGTAGTAAAATTTTCAATGAGAACCTTTGGCTGTGCATAAGATCAAAGAAACACTAACCCTTAACAGGCCTGCATATGTGGGAATGTGTATCTTAGATTTAAGTAAAGTATTAATGTATGATTTTCATTACAATTATATCAAGAAGAAATATGGTGATAAAGCTAAACTTCTTTCACAGACACAGATAGTTTAACATATGAAATCGAAACTGAAGATGTCTATCAAGATTTTGGTTGATAAAGATAAATTTGATTTTAGTGATTACCCAGAATACCATAAATATCATGATAAAACTAATAAAAAGTTATTGGTAAAATGAAAGATGAAGCTGCTGGAATAGTAGTTGGGAATTTGTTGGTTTAAGAAGTAAGATGTATAGTTATATTAAAGACAATAATAAAGGAGATAAGAAAGCTAAAGGAATTAAGAAAAATATTATTAAAACAAAATAAAACATGAAGACTATAAACAAAACACTATTTGAAAATAAACAAATACATCATACAATGAAAACTATTAGAAGTGTAAACCATCAACTTAGTAGTTATGAAATTAATAAAGTATCACTTAGCTGTTTTGATGATAAACGGTATATATTAGATGATGGTATAACTACTAGAGCTTATGGTCATTATTTAAATGATAATTAAAACTTATTTTAATATACAGTTATAATGTGTAGTAAGCATTTGGGCCTCTGTTAGAGTAAAATCATACATACCTGCTCCTCATGTTTGACTACATATCACATAACTGTTTGTAATAAGTAATTAATACAAAAGCGATATACAAAAGAATTCAAAATCCTGAAACAATTATTAAAACACTTTTAACAAAAATTATATAAAACATTGTTAAACATGTACATTACAATGATGTCTTACAAAAAAACATATAAAGAACCCATATTTTGTAAAACATTGTATTATTATATTACATGCATTGATGAAATGTGCTATCTACATCAAAACAACCATTGTGAAGAACATGCACTAAGACACGCGCGCTGCTACCGATAGATTTTAATAACACTTGATTATTAACACTTGATTATTATATTAGTGCTGATGAAATGCCATCTACATTAAACAACCATTGTTAAGAACATGCACTAAGACACGCGGCCTGACATGACAGGATTAAAAAAAAAACAGATATAGATTCCATATTTTACCCTTTGAAACAATGACTTTTTTTCACACAGCTTTCCTTTTTACACGACCTTTACTGAGGGACGCCTTTGAACCATGGTCTTATTTTTACGCTGTTATAAAGAAAAGTTTTACCCAACTTTTGAAACAAACAATTTTTACGCAGCTTTTTACATGACCTTTTACCTGAGGGACGTCTTTAACCATGGTCTTATTTTTACGCTGTTATAAAATAGTTTTAATTATCTGTAGTATTACGGGGGATTCGAATACATGAAAAGTAAACTTTTTATGGATTCGTACCCCCATGTGTATTACTACTAAAGTGGCAACTCCTCCGAACTTTAAATACGTAAAGATGAAGTCATTGAAGAGAAAACAGTAAAGTACAAGTAAAAAATGTCTATCAAGCATTAGGAAATAAAAATGTGTTTCAATAAAACACAAGACAATACACACTCCTTGTAAAGTAAACATTATTTAATGTAAACATTTCGACAAGAGTTACATGTCATCATCACAAGAGTCTAGTGTCTTGTGTTTCGCTAAAACACTCGTTGGCAGTCGTAATTTTTTAAAAATGTGTCTTTGTTATAACTTATATAATCAGCTCTTACAAATAAAATGACCTTTTTTCACGACGTTCAATTGAATTAAGTTCTTCACAGTCAAAACAGTAAAAAATCTTAGTAAGTTCGTCTTACTTTTTTTTCCGTCGTCCTTCAACAAACTTTAAATCGACCAATAAAATCATTATGTAATGACACCAGGTAATTTGTCAGTGCTAAAGAACACTTTCCAAATCCTTTTCCACGAAGGCAGAAAGCAACATAGAAATTGGTGTGGCACTAGTAACTTCTTTCACTTATAGGCTCTTTTCTTCTGAAATTCCGTAACGACCTATCACAACAGTCAGGCATGTTGAACTTAAGTTAATGATTGTGGTTTTAATATACGCAATTGACTAAGAAAAATTTTTTAATCAATATTACTAAGTTGCTTATGCTTGAGACTAAAGACAACAAATTTTTGATTAAGTATATTAAATAGTTTACTATGGACAGTATGAACTCACTGTTTTGTACAAGTGATATTCTTTTGATTTTCCAAGCCTTCTGAAATCATCAATTAAGGAAGAGAGTGCTTCTTTACATCAGATCTATAAAAGAAAACAAAAAAAATAAGAAAGACAACTTTCTTGAAAAAACACTAAAATTATAAAAATCATTTTATATAAAGAATTTTTATTTTCGACAAGATTTTAGGGTGGTTAAGAAGTTTATTGAGATGTGAGCAATATTCACTATAAGAAAATTATAGGTTTCTACGGCTTTCCATTGTATTTACTGTTCCTGACTTAGCTAAAATGTACTGTTTATACTAGTTGATCATTAACGTTTTTTATTATATGAAGTTCTGCACATGAAGAACTGATCTCCAGACATTTAAATATTTTTTAGCGAAAGTTGACTTCTTTTTACTTGCTGAAACGTTTACCAGCAGCAAAAACTAGTTAACAAGTAATGGCTTTGACAGGAGAAGTTCAACAATTTTTTTATTCAAAAACATTTTGCAGCATTACCTTTTTTTAATAGGTTTCCAATGGTGTATTTTTCAGCTTCGCTTCGATCTAAGCGACGATGAAACTTTTCAAAAAGAAATCGTTGCAGCTTTATAATTTTGGGAAGATATTGCAATGCACAAAGATGACATTCCTGAAATTAGGAAAGAAAGAATTTAAACCTGATGTGGAATGCATGACAGCGTCTTTAAGGAAATGACTTTAAAAAAATTCAGTACTTTTAGCAACAGGAAAACTCTCTAGCCTTTTTATAAATTACTTCATTTATTTTCTCTTGTATAAAAACCCTTTTTATAAACGAAATTTTTTTGTCATTTGTTTCATAATTTTTGCATCCGTGCCAACATAAACAAGTTTTTGATAATCTAGTAATTCAAACACCATTACGAATAATTCTGTTTCAAAACTGTTTCGAAGTTAAAATATTCAATATAGCTAAACAAATTAACAAAAATTGTGTTAAAGATTAGTATATTTTTGCAAATTTTATATCTGACATTTTTGTAGTAATTACAGAAAACTGAAGAAGACTCTTTTGAGAAATTCATCAAGTATTTCACACTTGTCTGTTGGCACTGTGACACCTTGAGAATATTCTTGTATTTAAAGGACAAATGTTCAATGGTGATTTTCTTGCGATTTCTCCACAATGCAGGACATGAAGGATCGAGTGTTTTAACAACAGTAGAGTTCGGTTCATCTAATTCATAGATTAATTTCAAGAGCTCATTATTTTCTGCAAAAAAGTAAGAAAGATATTTTTAATATTAAGTTATGTATATTTAGTATGTTCGTGAAACTAAATGCATCTAACCACCATCATGGATGGATAAGCCACCTCTTAGGTATGTTTATATTAATTCGCCATAAAATTATTAAAAAATGCATTGCTTTTTCAATGGGATTTTTTTTTCTAAATAGTTACTATAATAGTAATGGATCCGTGAGTATCTGTGTATATAAAAGATTATTTGCGAGATTAAAATTACAAAAACAATTCAAAACCGCTAGATTCTTCTTACCCAGTCTTTCATCACTGATCATTTTATTTAAGGCATCTCTTAACAACTCAGAAACAACCTTAAAAAGAAAATATATTTTTACATCACAAATAATGAATATCGCATAAATAAGCACCCCCAGGAAATGATAATCACAGAGTCATTTTACAGTACACCGAGAAACAGTTTGATAAAATTTAAAAAGCAAGACGAAAATAAAGAAATTCCAATTGAAAAACAGAAATACTTGGAAACAACACTACAAAATTTCAAAGGAGAAAGCTTAGTACAATATGCTTAGTTGAAAAAACAATGATTAAAAATAGAAAAAAAAACAGCAAAAATAAGTTTTGCACGATCGCCGTGTGATTGTGTGCACGACAAAACGTATTCAGTGAGTTTGCATTCTTTAAAAACTTGATTGCTAAATTACATTGCTTATCCAATTGCATATTGCTATATGTTAAGTTTACGTGTTTGTGTAGAAGAAATACTTTCATCCTAAGTAGCTACGTAAAAGTAAGAGCATGTCGATAAATTTTTCTCTCTCCTTATAATCATCTAAAAGTTTTCATCGAAAGAACTATCCCAAAATGTGATGGTAAAATAGAAACTGTAACAACTACACAAACAAGCAATGACAGTAGCAGACTTTTTAAATAATGTATAAAGTAGCTATTTTTAAAATTTTCGTATCATATTAGGTATTTGAAAAAAATAAAAACCACATGAACTTACTGATAGAACAGGGTTCAAATAAGTGTTCATAAACGCATTTTCCCACGTTTGTCTTGTTTCTTTACTTGACAAATCATTCTGAGAGAAATCGATGTTTCCTAATGACAACAAATGTAGCGAAAAATTATATTGAGTAGAGCTATAGCTGTTTTTTACTTCAAATGAAACGTGCAGGCAAGTATCAAAATGATCTTGTTTGAAAAATATTTTAGCTTGTGATTATTGGTTAATATTTCTTTAGTGGTTGAAAATAACTTTCTAAAACACAAATACCCTAAAAGAATATATAATTGAAAATATATTTTCAAACAGTGACACAATTACAAAATAATCTTCTTTCAGTTTGTTTATAAAGGTTTGCATGCTGACTTTGACATACTTCAATTTAGATTAATTTGATTGTAGATATTGCAATTTTGATCAAAAGTTTTTTATTAATGTTACTTTAAAGTAAATGGTTTGAACCCGGGAGTATCTTTACATGTTTGTAAATGTAGATCGTCCATGTTGGTATAGTCCTGAGAAGGACTGTATTTGTTGTTGTTGACTTTGTTGCTTTTTGAATGTTACTTTATCGGATATTAAATCTATTAAAACCAACCGGAGCATAGCCCATTGCCTGCGTTGCGTATCATGTTCATAATTAGCGAGATTATTAGTGAAAAAATTAATGATATTAGTAAAAATCATAATTTCATCTAATTTTTTAAATAGCACTTCGTCACTAATCATTAGGTTGGTTGCTTAGAACCTAACTTGTCTTGTCCTGTAAAACAAAGAAATCATCCTCAATTAGCATCCAATTCGATAGTCACAGAAAATAAATTGTTGTGTTTAGAATTATGCTTTGGTTGTTGTCGTGAAGTAATAATTTTATTTCTGTTTCATTTAAAACATGAAACTATTCTGTGAAGTAATAGTTTTTTGTTTTACATGGCTGTTTGTTTTAACACCATTATAAATTGTTTTGTATAGTAAAACAGCTTTTTATGCTTTTATCAAAATTTAAACTGTTTATATATGAGTTGATATAAAAAAGGTACAAACCGTGATTATTTTTTACGATTTCTACAAAAATCAGATGAATGATCACAGCAGCTTCATCGACATTTGTACCAACCAGTTTTGCAATACAACGGAGATCATTTTTTATATGGTCTTTTATGAATTTAACGACATCATCAACAGGTGGTATGACAATAGCTGAAATATTCTTAAAATCACAGAAAAATTATGTATAGTAGCAATGTTATAACATTGTTTTCGATCAACAGAAATTTTATGTGTAAATAAAAAAACTCATGAATAAGTTAGATCGATGACTGGGCAATATTAATACTTTGATGCTCTACCGTGTTAGGTTTCTTTGAAATCAATTTTTATGCTGAATTTAACATGCATATGTAAAGTTTGCTCCCCCCCAATTATCCTTCCAAAATTTATCAGTAGCTACAAACTTTTTCCTTAATTAATTTGAGAAAATTTTTTAAATTTTAAGCGTTATATTTTGTAAATGCACTGTGGAAATGTACAATTGTTGAGCAAGTATTGTTTCTTGATTGGCTGAAAAGCAGTAAAAGGCAAACAAACTTCTTTTGAATGAAAGAAAACATGGCAGCAGTTTTTAGTAAACAAAGATTTCTACAAATGCAATCGTTTGAATTTCAAAAGTTAGAAAAGAATGCAAAGAATAGAAACAAAGTACTGTTTTTGAGGTGAAATTTTTACAAATGAGGTTTTTCTGGAACGACAGAAACTAATAAAGCGAGAAAGAGTCAGATGGTATAGTGGAGAAATATCACAAATATTTTGTTATTAAGTAATTTTAGTTTTGAAGACTTCAAATAACGCTCGTCCATGGACTCACATTATTTCGTTGCATTCTTTGAAAAACTCACTTGTGCTTGTTTATCTTTAATTGCACTTAAAACTACATTTTTAATTTTACTAAATGACTTATCCTTGAAATTGTTAGCAGACGATAAAGTATAAAAAAGCATGTATGCAACAAAGTGGTTTTTGGGTTTATTTTGAGAAATGAAAAACCTGGCTTCTAAACAACTTCAATTAAAATAAAACTGGATGACTTTTACCTAATAAGTATTGAATTCAGTTTCATACACTTGCAACTACCTGAATTTGGTCTGGAGTTGTTCCCAACAACATAGCCACATGTGTCAAACAACGTAAAACAGAACATGATAAAGAGTTCAAATTTCTTTGTGTACTTGGCGGTTGGTTTTGAACACGTCCTAAAATGTGGCCAGTACTACTTCGATGTGCACTAAAGGAGATACTTGAATTGTAAATTATTGTATTATCTTAACAGATTGAAAAACAAATTTTTCATATTTGCCAATTTAATAAAGAACAGTAAAAATATAAAACACATGGGGTTGGTTTGGCATTGGCATAATGATGCCTCTCTATTATTGATTACTAACTGAGAATTTTCCTCTTCAATTGCAACACCCGAATTTAGGGAATTATACGTTTCTTTGTACTCTCCACACTATATTGATTCAAAAAAAAACATTGCAGCATTTAAAATACTTGAGAAAAAAATTAAAGACAAATTATACCAATGGTAATTAAAAGTGACTTACCTCTGTTATGACGTGATGATGTGCGTTATTGCTTTCTGGAAAATGCAGTGCAAACCAACACAATAGGTTAATTATTCAAGCATTTTATGCAAAATGTCTATTACTTACCATTTGATGTACCATAGCCAACATCTATGACCTCGGGACCATCATCGTGAGGCATAGTGGGAATATAAGCATTCTTAGAAAGAAAAAGTCAACAAATAAATAAATGCAATCTGATGTAATAACAATTACTAATGGATTTTTAAGACGACACGATGTAAAATACTAATTGAACCATGAATTTTATCCCAAGCCGAGTAGAAGAGTTTAACGTTAAAAAATTATTTGTAGATTTCTCATTTTTATTAAAGACGATCTATAAATGCACACACAATCGTTTGTTTCTAAACCTGTTTTATTCGCTGTTCGTGCAAGCAGCTTTTTGTAATATATAAATGGTAGTACAAAATACGTTTCTTTTGTTAGCTAATAAGAAACTGTAATGGTAGTATAAAAAGATCAATAATTGCAAACACATACCCTCATTGATTCTGGATTGAAAGCAAGGTTTGATAATGGAGCCAAAAGTTGATTATTTGGAAAACAACTCATAACAACAAGGAAATGAATCAAGATTTCTTTTAAACGTCTATCAATTAAAGTTTGTCCACTGTGTAGCTGAAGAAGATGCTCATAAGGACTTTTGTTGAAATTTTCTAATAGATTCTTTGCAAGAGGTAGCTGCAACAGATAAAAATATACTGCTTGGTTGTCAAGCAATAGTTTTGTTCGAAATAAGCTCATCTTTAACAAACTTATTGAAAACTTTGTAAAAATTACATCTAGATTAATTTAAGATGAATTTTTATCATTTTTGGACTGCGTTTAAAAAAGGAGCATGCTTAAAAAAAATTCAAATAAATTCAAACTTTAGAGCTTACTAAGAAGGTTGTGTGTGCACTACATGCATGGGAAATTGTAAAATCATATAAATATTTTTCTGCAGGAAAAGTTGCTACAACCTCATGTTCAGTTACACATTCTCCAAGTTCCTTATTCACCATCTAAAATCAAAGTTAAATGCATCATTTACAAACATGACACAATCTCTATAATATTTAACGTTAAAAATGCCCCGTAAACAATCTCTGGTCCTCTGTAACAAGAAATTATAACACGTACATTCTAGAATTCTGTCTGCCACCCCCCCAAAATTTTAGAGAAAAGAAAAATGAAAAGGAAATAATATAAAACCATTAGATTATAATAGCTAAAAATGCATTTTTAGTGTATCATCAAAACAACTGTCTATCAACCTTTACAGATAGTGGCTTATTCAATGGTAGCTACTCCATTTTTCTAATGAATTCTTGTTGTTTGCAGTTCATAATAAAAAATAGGTACGCAATGCGTACATGTGGATAGCCTGTCAACTACATTACTACTAAATGAAGTAGATGATATGAGTCTTATTCAAATTAAACTATATATTTAATATTATTTACGTTCAACTTGTTTAAAATTTGAAAATGTTCTTTAGTTATATGACCATTTAATTGTTTAACCTTTCCTGCATTTCTAAACGCTTTGGCCTAGATTGATTGTCACGTGACTGTGCTCAAGCATCGCATCAAGTAAAGTAACGTCATTTAGGTTTCTCGCGACTTTTAAAACTTTTTTCACCGAAACACATTTTTGCCATAAATGTTATTCAAAAAAGTTTTCTGACATATCTAAGATATCGTTCAGAGAGCGTCATGCCCATAAACGATAAATCAACACAACACGCTTAGGACTTGTATTAGATTACATTTGAAAGTAAACGCTTTGCGTTAGGCATTGCAAATGATCGCATGTCTCTAGTATTTCCTGTTCATAGTTTGACACGTATCATATTTCACTTGATGTAAAATTATAAATCCATAGAAATAATATTTGTAATTTGTACAATATTCGAATGCAAAATAAATCCATTCGCTTTTAGCTAGGGGCAGATACAGAGTACCTCAAATATTCCACGCAATATGAAATCGCAAGGAAAGATCTGCCCTGCATTCTGGTAAAGATGGGTTTATTTGGTTGTTAATTTAGCTATTGTTTTATCCCATTACGACGCTAATTGAATTTCTAGTAACTTTTCAATGTCTTGTATTTTTTAATATTTTGCAGTGCAAAACTCTTTCGTTTCCTTATGGAGGTCATACTCCAATCCAACTATGTAAATTAATAGATTGTAAATATATTAATAGAATTAGTAGATTAATAGAATAATAGATTGTAAATTAAAAATTCTTATAGTATTCGTTCAACGAGAATCGAGAGTGACAAAGCGACGAACGCACAAAACGGTATTGTTCGCCATCGTTCGTATATCCGACTATTACCAAGAATTACGACGACAGAAGGACAGACGGACAGCTTTGGCTAGCAGCTACCCACAAAAATAACGAAATTGTTTTTACAAAACTTATATTTTCGAAGCCTACCCGATCTTTTATATCTACATACATTTCAATTTTTTCAGTAAAACTATTATTAATTTTCTTAGAAAATACATTCTATTAATTGTTTTTTGCTTTCAACATAAAAAATATTTGCATTGCAAAAGTAAAAACAGAATGGCTTCGGTATCGATCGTAAGAAGCTTTCTAACCACAAAGTTTTCATTCAATATGATATAAAGTGGTGCACGTAATTACTAGATAATTTTTGAGACTTTGAAAATGTTATTTTGACGTTTTTTCTAGTGAACATGTTGCACATGTTTTCCATAAGGTTAAATCTCTAATTGGATGCTATAAATTTGGCATTTCATGTCAAATTATTGGGTAGAAAATACCTTTCTTCAAAAAAATCAACTTTATCTGCTCAATTCAATTCGTGAATACAATCACAAAATAATGAAAATTTTGAACCAAAACAACACAGGACGTGAAAACACCATCCATCAGAAACTAAAAACTAATTTACCTCTAAGGAAATCCGATCTGCTTTGTTCCCGGAAGGAAATTTGTTTATAACTTCGCCATAAAATGCCAGTAAAATATAACAAAACCGATTTGGAGCATCACAGGTCATTTTCTGAAAAATTTAAATTGAGAAATTTAACTTATAACGTCCTTTATCTAATTTGATTTAAAACTGCATTTTTGTCACAACAGAGTTTTCATAAAGATTTACATATTACTATTAGCAGGATACGAAAAGGTAAAGAATTTAGTAAGGGAAGAAAACTAAAACATTTTCACTTCAGTGTAGATTCCAGCACCATTCTTGAAGGAGATATATTAAAGTATTTTTAAAAATTTTCTCATACAGCATATTATTAGAAATTTGAGGATTTTTGACTTCATGTTCTAAATTTAATGAAAACAGTTGCAAGCTACGAAAATCAAATGCATATTTTTCTGTAAGGCTAAGCAACCTAAATGAAATGCTAATCACAACAATTAAGTGACTAGCTTCACTTAAAGTAAAGGATCTCCTTCCTAATTAAAACATATAGCATATAAAGTTTATGGTTTAAGACTAAAGGTGTCGTTACATGTTTCTAGATGTATATAGTCTAGGTTAGTACTGTCCTGGAAAGATTAGTTGGTATTGATGGTGAATGACGTTTCAACAACCTTAGTGGTGGTCATCTTCTAAACTTGACTCTGAAGATGACTACCGCAAAGTTTTTCGAAACGTCAATCAACATCAACATTCCTTCTCGGGACTCTACTAACCTGAAAGATCTACATCCTGAAACATGTACACTTAATTAGCATATATTTTATATCACATCTAACTGCAAGTTCTCAATTTTATATTCGTAACTATCATTCTAAAGGAAAATGCACATAATTTTTATGGTAAGACGTATGGCTCCCTCACTCTTAAAATCGACTTTGAAAGACTACTTACATGAGCCTAATGCATTTATAACAAAAGTAAATGAGAAATTTATCGTGATTTTGGGGTATTCAGGGATGAAAATGAAACGTTTCAAGAGGGCGTTCGCAGTGTAATGAGAAAAATTATCTTACGTTTAAAGTCGACTGCATTTCTTCATAGTTCGATGTCATTATTCCTTTGCCAATAGCTTTTTGCACAGTGTAATAGTCCTCGTCATGAACTATAAAACTGTCCAGTGTTTTCTCATGCTTCTATATGGAACCACAAGTCAGAAAAAGTAAATTTTAATCTCAGCAAACTATGAATGACATTTAAACATTTATAAGACAAGTATTTCACTCGTCAAGGACAGAATTCAGTTTTAAGAATTTAAGAAATCAAATAAGTACAAAAAAGTTAACAAATCGTCACCTCGATATGTGGAGGCAAAATCCATTTCAATTCTGGGTTTTTACACCTTTCTTTCACTCCATCAAAACCGTTTGGATCATTATGCATTAACTGTTTTAGTAGGAATAAGTGTAAAGCAGATAGCTTTTCTTCGCTACACAAATGTTTAGCAGCCTCAAGGCAACTGCTAAGTTGAGAATTGCTGTTTAAGTTGTCGGAAAGATCGTCATTTATAAATGTAGAAAGTTCACTTAATGCAGCCCGTATTTCAGCAATATCTTTAAGACTGTCAATGTCCAGAGTTTCCCATTTTTGAAAATTCTTCAGTGTTCGATTAAGGATTTCGTGCATCTTTTTAATTTCAAGAATTTTTCCTTTTTCTTTTGTTTGTTTTTTTCGTAATAATTCACCAATTATAGAATCCTAAAGGAAAACCATATGACCAATTTATAGAATGAAATCATCTTTAAGTAACACAATTTTTTGACAACCAAACAAGTTTTGAATTGAGCTATGTAAATATTTGAAGTATCATTGCACGATCAAAAGGAAAAAAAAAATTTCATAAATTTTTCAGGAATGTTATAAAGACGTTATTTACCTCGATACAATAAACAAACAACACGCAAACGTTCATCAAATGTTTCTTGTTGGTTGAATGGCCTTTAGAATCACTGAGATATTCTTTTAAACACTTATAAACTTCACTTTCTCTATAGAATGAACGCATTGCATTTTTCTATGACAACTTAACACAATTCTTGATAGAAATTCTAATAACAAATTTGAAATCTTTCATTTTGGTACTCGTAATTGTCCTGTCTACTTTTATTGTCCCTCCAACGGTCCTCTTTCTATTTAATACAGTAGCATGTATACATACCTTCCTTTGATTGAAAAAAGTTGCTGTAAAATGTATGATCTTATAACTGGAGTAACATCAATGCCGTGACCATCAAAATGAGTGAAATCTTCAGTTACGTTTCCATCTTTAATCACATAAGACATGAACTTCCGCAAAAGTTCTTCTTGTGGTAAATCATCACCAAAGCAATAAACAGAGACAACATTCATGAAAAAGGATTTGAAGCGATTACGAAAGCTTTTCCATTCTTCCAAAGAAAGCCTAAATAACACATAAAAAAAGCTTTCAATTATACAAGGAATATGTCATATATTCTGATGTAGAGCTATTTTTCACTATACTCGTGTGAGTACTTTCTCTTTCTGCACAACGACAAATCAAAAGTTCAATTCAACTATTGACGGTTAAATCTGGATGGTTATTTAAAGACTGCGACACTGGGACTATAAACGCAAAATTCTTTTTTTAAAATGTCTACATACACCTAAATATACGTTTAATTGCGCGATTGTTGAGGGTTTATATTACAAGCTGCATTTATTTCGAAATTTCTGAACCGCTTGTCTTCACTTATGACCGCTTACCTGCTATAACGGCTTAACCAAGCATAGCCCCATAAGTGGTAGGAATGATATCTTATTTTACATACTTCTCCGTTTTGCATGCAGAATCAAATTAATGTCAAAACATCAAGAACCATCAGAATAGCATAAACAAAGAAACAATTTAGAGAAAGCCTCAATCCCAGTTTAACGCGAAAAGTTGGCTCAACATTTTTCTTTGCTACTCTGTTTCATTATTAGGACGGACTTGTATTGATATTTTTTAATTTTTCAGTTCTTAGCGTGATTAACTTAATTTTGTCCACTGCAGCAACACAGCCTTTTCCTCTTTTTAGGTCCCTTTCAATTACGTAAAAATATCGCTAGAACTCGCCATTTTACTTGTATGTGCTCAACATCTGTCGTGAAATAGCTTGTAGAAAAAATGGAAAAATATGTGCAAATCGTAACTTTTGATCTTTATAAAATCACCACTTAAAATCGAATTTAACAATTGCAGAAATGCATGCACATATTTATTCAATTAATTGGCTTGAATAAAAAAGAAATCTAAAAGTAGTTGCTAATATAGAAACAGTTTCAAAACACAATGATTACCTAATAGTTTGATCAATTTGCACCTGAAAATCATGGCTAACATCGTATCTACAGACAGGACAGACTTTATGATTGTCAAGACACTTGGTTATGCAAAGTTTGCAATACACGTGACCACATGGTAGCTGAACTGGATCATGGAGTGACGTTATACAAATGGCGCATCCAACATCAAATCTAAGATGATCAATATTGTTGCCAATGAAGTGCCAGGCGGAAAACGGATTCTCAAAATAAATATTAGAGCCCAACAAATAATTTTGAACATAGTCATAAACAATTTGTTTTTATGTAGTTTATTAAAATAGTGACGTTTTGTCTTGACTCAAAATATCTTCAGACTAATAAGGAAGTTAACAAGAATTATAGAAATATATATATAGTTATTTACATAGTTTAAGGTATCAGATTACTGTGGCTGTGTAAGTGTGATGTGATGTATTGTTAGGGTGAGGTGTTGTGACTAGAAAAGCTTAATAGGAATAAAGCTGCCTTGGGTGTTAAGTAAAGGTTTTAGTTTGGAGATGAGGAGGCTTTCGTGGATCATGAGGTCAAATGTGTTGGAGCAGGATGAGATGATTTTAAAATCGTCTGGCGAAGCAAGGTGGTTGAGCGAGTTACTATGAGTAAGAATACTTGACATTAATGGGTTAGTATAGCGTTTTCCAGTCAAAGGAGAGATCCCCAAGTGTGCCGAGTTTCTGGTTTGTAAGAGGCGTGTGGTTTGACACACATACGACGCGGAACAGCATCGACACGTGTATAAATAAACAACACCAGGTGAAATCATTACTCAAACAACTCAAGAAAACGAAATAAATTGATAAACAATCTTACAATAAACTCTATCCGACTGGCTCACATATAGATATACTATATGGACTTCCAAAAATTCACAAACCAACCATTCCCTTATTAACCATTCTATCTTCTACAAATCACTACTCATATAAACTAGCTAAATTTTTCATTCCGTTGCTTACACCCATCTCCACAAACTCTTTTATGATAAAGGACTCATTCTCTTTCGTACAAGAATTACTTAACACTGGAATCAACTTTAACAAAGTTGTTATGGCTAGTTTTGACGTAACTTCTCTTTTCTCCAACATTCCCCTTCATGAAACAATCAATATCATCTGTGATCTTCTTTTTACTATCCATAAACAATTTAATGGACTCACCCGCACTGAATTTAGTAATCTACTGACATTATCTGTAAAAAATTGCCCCTTTATATTTAACGACCGCTTATTCCACCAAATTGGTGGTGTTTCTATGGGTAGTCCTTGGCCCCCTTTTTGCCAACATATTCATGTCTTTCCATAAACTGGCTGAAAAACTGCCCCACAAATTCAAACCTATTCTCTACAGACGATATGTCGATGATTGATTCCTCCTTTTTAATTCACATGATCATGCTCCTCTATTTTTAGACTACATCAACCATCAATACCCCAACATCACTTTCACCTCTAAGACGGAAAATAATGGACAAATACCGTTTTTAGATATTGACATTTACCATTCAAACGACAAATTCACCACCTCTGTATATCGTAAACCCACATTCACCGGTATTTTCACAAACTTTCACAGCTTTATCCCACTTTCTTACAAACGCAACTTAATCTCTGGCCTATTACACCGCTATTTCAACCTCCGCTCTAGGTATGAGACTTTTCATGCCCAAATTGAAACCACCAGAAAACTATTCAAACTCAACTGCTATCCAACTAATATGTTTTGATCACATTGTCTATCGTTTCCTTGACACAAAATTCGAACAGAAACTACCTGTTCTTAGTTTCCAAAAGAAAATAGTGTATTTCTGTCTCCCATTCACCGTCTGACACTCCTTACAAATCCACACACAAATCAATTGTCTATACAACGCTGCTTTCCCTCATCTCATTTTTAGATTCGTATTTCGTCCCCCCACACGAATCTCTTCATTTTTTCCGTTAAGGATAAAATTCTCAAGTCCCTGAGATCTTGTGTTGTTTATTTATACACGTGACAATGCTCTTCCGCGTCGTATGTGGGTCAAACCACACCCATTAATGTCACGTATTCTTTCTCATAGTAACTCCTCCAACCACCCTGCCTCGCAAAACGATCTTAAAATCATCTCATCCTGCTCCGACACATTCGACCTCATGATCCAGGAAAGCCTTCTCATTTCCAAACTAAAACCTTTACTTAACACCCAAGGCAGCTCTATCCCTCTTAAGCTTTTCTAGTCTTAACACCTCACCCTAACATAACATCACATCACACTTACACAGCCACAGTAATCTGATACCTCAAACTATGTAAATAGCTTTCTATATATTTATAATGCTTGTTAACTTCCTTATATTAGTCTGAAGATGTCTTGAGTCAAGACGAAACGTCAATATTTTAATAAATTTCGTAAAACCAAATTTTTTATGACTATGTTGAAAATTATTTGTTGGGCTCTAATATTTACTTTGAGAATTCTAATATGATCATTATTATTTTTAAGTACAACAGAAATCAACATATAACTAAGGTTGCATATTAGCCTCTATATAATTTGTTAGGAAATAGTCTTTTAAAAACACCGGGGCTGATTGATTGAATGCTCAAAAAAACCGTGTTTCTCTAACTCTATAGAAACACTATATGGAATTTCAATCTCGTATATGTCTCATAGGTTGTATGTGCATCAATAAATTGTTCTTTTTAGTATTTTTTTCAAAAGGCTATTTTATCAAAAAATTGAAAACATTTATTTGTTTCTGTTGAGTTACACAAACACTTTTGAAAGTTTCGGGGAAACTCGAAATTGCTTGGAAATACTCGCAGTTCGTTCTCGTGCTCGTGCATGCCACGCTATTTCTCGTTTCTCTCAAATTTTCTATATAAATCTGTGCAAACTCGCAAAATGTTTCATATTTCTAAATCAATAAGGATCGCACATGATGGTATGCAAAAGGAGAAAATGTTCACTGTGTTAGATTGGATGAAATAGAGTTTTTAAATTAATTAATTATTAGTATAGCTATGTAGATTGACTTTTTAAAGTTGTATTGTCTCATAAAAAATTGACTTTACGTGGAAAGGTAAGCGCGATGCCAGCCGTTTTTGTAGATTGTAATTTTGATAAAATAAAAAGCTCTTATTGAAAAATCACAATACACTAAACGTGAAAGTATTTTACACCGTGTTTTGTCATCTATATACTCACTTTATTTCTCGTTTTTGTAAGTCTTCACTGCATTCTTTCAAAAATTTATCAATAACTTCTATAGTATGAAGTGAAGTAAAGACAGGACTTTCACCCAATTCCTAAATAAAGAGAAAAAATTATGATGGTAATGAGCAGTTCGCCAACGTCTGTATTTGAGAAACATCCACGTCTTTTTCAAGTACACGGGCCTTTGCAAATCAATCGTTTACAAAATACCATTGTATATATATGTTTGTTAAATGTTCATGGAGGGTACAAGTGTGTATTGGATGCTGGGGCTACACTATTTTTATAATCTTTGTAAATGTAATACAACCTTACAAGATAGTGAAACAGATTTACAAAAATTGCATTTGAAAAGCGTTTCTATTCCACAGAAATAATCAATCAACAAAATGGCAGTTGTTTACTTTAATGAAAACTTTACCTTCCATAATTTTAAAGCATTGGAACCATCATCAGTATGATTCAAATCCTCAGGTGGATAAGTGTGTTCAATAAACATACGCACAACATCCAAACGTGTAAACATGATCCTATAAATGACACGCGTAGGAACAGAATGTAACTTTTAACAAAAGGTTAGTATTGCCAATTAATGTTTGAAAGATTGAGTTCATAATGAGCTAATGATCTTGAATAGTTTTCATAGTGGGAATCAGTCGATAACATTTCCGAAAAAATTAAAATCACATCAATCAAAGATTTTTGTGTAAATAAAAATTATAAAGTCAAATATGTTATGCTAGTTTACTCAATTATTGCTACGATATAACGAATTATATGTTTCCACTCCTTTTCATTTTCTCAAATACATGATTTATAAACACAATTTTTAGCTTATTACAAATAAACATATTTTATTTGAAGATTAATGTTTATTAGACACTTACCAAGAACCTTCCAAATTCTGCGAAGATTCTTTTGACAAAAAAATAGTAACATTGTTTGACTTCCCACTTTCTGTAATTGACGTTCTCATATCTTGAATAATTGGATGTAGACATTGAACTTGATTACACCATTTCTTGCGCTTATAAAGATTTTTAAAATCATTTAAATTAGGTTCCAGTTCTTTTAGACAGTAATGAAGAGCCAGAGCATCCAGGCACTAAAATGGTGCGAAAAAGTTTACAATCACACGAAGTTTTTATCCAAATGCTACTTTCTGAATACTTGTATAAGAAAGTGCAGATGAAGTATTGAGTTTGCAAAACAGTGCATTGATAAAACAAAAATTTCTGGGAAGAAGTATAAAATTATATCAAGTCTATACTTCTATGGCAGCAATCTTCTACATATTGACAAGTATTTACGTTGTGACTTACCAATTCTGAATCATTAATTGGTAATGTAGACTCCATAAGTTTTTCTACCAGTTGAGGAAATGCATGAACAAGTTCAGAGAAATTCAGCAAACGTTCTTGAATCATGGAATAGGCAAAATGAATGAGAGGAATATCCAATTGAAATTCATAATTTTTATGGAAAGTCTGATGTATTTGCCCAGACGTTGCAAGTACTGCTTCGTGTATCAACTAGAAATACAAAAATATAATATTTATTCAAACGTGTACCTCAATAAATGTAGATTTACAACTAGTGGTAGCCAACACGTACGTTGCCCATTCAACATGCTTTGAATGCATTGCCTAACCATATTCTGTTAACAAACCTTCAGTTCATTTTCCACGACTGGTTTATACATCATGTGTAAAAAGTCATCCAAATAACTTTTCGCTGCTTTCTCCTTAACATCCTGACCTTCAAATGCCAATTTCTTCAATATTCCCAAAGGAGAAGCATCAAAAATGCTTCTTAATGACTCCAATCTCTTTGTGATATCTCCTAAAATGTAATAAAAGTACAAAGACTAACGTATGATGTGAAGAAAAATTAGTTTTAGCCACAATTATTTGTTTGTTTTTAGACTTTCAATTTGTAATATTTAACAAAAAATAGCAATTACAACTAGACAATTACAACAAGATATTTTTTGAAAATATCACAAACTGGATGATCACGCATAATACAAAAAAATATTTAACAGTGATTCTAGCCATTTGAAAGAGGACATATTTTGTAATTATCATTTATGTTATACTTGGTTGCGTTTTTCTGTTCAGCAACATAAAATTTGCATTTTAGATAAAGATGGAATATTAAGAAAGTAATTTGTTTTGAAATACTTCCATTCAAATATTAAACTGTATCTCAAGAACCCAAAGTTAAAAACAGATTTAAGAAAATATTTTTCTAGTTTAAAATAAAATGGTGGAATAAAATGTTTAAGTGTTCGGCTTAAGCTAATAATTCTTCCTTTACCAGTCACATAAATGTATTCTCACCGTCCACCTAATATTTACAAAAAAACATTTTGTCAAAAATATTTTGCACTAAATCAAATCTGCCTGATATTCAAAACCAAAATTGTCCATTTTAAAAAAATATAAACTGAAAACAGAAAACATATTAGCGGCAATCAAAAATTTTCTCCATGTTTCTCTCCATTGATATAGTGATCTTTGTCATCACTATAGTAAAAAAAAACGGTTTGCTTTTTGTAACCGATCAAATAGCCGGTAAAACATAAGGTATACTCATAAATACATACCGCCAACTTTCAACAATAGATCTTGAACAATATCTTTAATTATCCAGGAGAATGGAAACTTTCCTACAAAACGATGTCCAACTCCACTGCTTAACACAGTTGCTCGTTCTCTTATCCTACCAGATACAGGGGAAATGAATGATTCATAAGTCATTGTGGTAATGTTATCCTCCTTTAACATTTCAAGCCATAATTTTCTTGTCCAAACGTTTTCTTCAAGAAGCAAGTTAAGGTTATGATTGCGATCACAGTAAGCGATAACTTCCGACAAAATAGGAGAAACAATTGACGATATCTTTTTACATAAAGCTTTTCTAAATGTACCAGTCTCCTGTAGATGTCCTTGAGACAACGCTTCTTCTTGAACCCAGAGTTTTTGGTCAGATAACCATCTCTCATCACCCTCATGCAGCAATTTATGAATTCGAAAAACGAAAATTGTTGATAGGTCTAGAACAAGAGATGAAGTTACATTTTACTATCGAATGTATCTCAAAAAGTTTCTAAAAAAAGAAAAGAAAAAATTTTTCAAACCTGTTTCAGCAAAGCATTTCTCTAATATCTCAATTCGCTTTGTGGTTCTCAAAACGTCAATTGATTCGTCAAAAACTCTAGCAGCTGCAGACTGCAAGTATTTCTTCAACAGGAGTGTCAGGCGTCTATTTTTTTCATCCAAATTCTCCTCTATATTCTATTTTTTTTAATGAATGGAAGTCATTAAGCATTACCACAGGGTATCCCAAACAAACAGATCACACACAAATAATTATAAATGTATGAAAACGAAATCTGCATTTATAAAATATTATACTCTGCAATAGCTATTTGTTCTGCCTTGCTAATTTAATCACACGCTTTGTCAATGTTCGCTGCAACTTTTGAAAAATATGATTACGTTTTTGTGGTTGTTATAAAGACACACTCAACTTGCCAACGTTTATATAATCTATAATTTATTCCGATCCTAGCGAAGCAATAACTCATTAGCAAAATTTAACAACTCATTAAAGCTGTGATAACTCATTTAATATCGCTTTGATTACACAAAGCTTTTGCCTTATAAATTTGAGATAAAATTCAGTGTGTGACAGTAGCTACTTTCAATTTGTTTTGCTTTAAGTAATAAAATACACACTACATGAAGTCCAAATGGCGTAGAACTGAAAATTTCTTGTAACTGTTGTGAATTCTATTTACATTATTGCGCACAATAATTTCAGCGAATGCGTAATTAATTTATGTGCGCCCATTCTTTATGGACACCCTGTAAATCATAATGCTAAATAAGTTTAATAAAATTGTTTATTGCATTGGTGCGTTGTTGAAATACATCATATCAAAACTATATGTATGACACCATAGCAACAAAGCATTATAGGGAAATTTGACAAGCCGTATCTCTGTTTAGTTTTTATAGCGAGATATAGAGATGATCACCTCAATTCAAGCAAATATGAAAATGTTTAATCATTTAAGTTGATCCGTTTGTTAATATTTTTTAAATCAAACACAGCATTTTCATTAATCATTTCCAAGATTGACTTACCTGTGCAATGCTTTCATTTAAGTTAAAAAGATCACTAACAGAATGATTAACAAGTTGTTCAAGTTGCGGCAATTGTTCATTTGTCTCAAGAAGCTCGTCAATATGGACACATTGCCATTTTCCTCCTTGAAACTCAACAAAATGATGGCAGCCACCAGAAATTTTGGGCAACTGGATGATAAAAATAATGTGAATAGGATTTGTGTGCTCTTTGAACATTTCCAAAATCTTGCGTCGAGTTTGATCAAGGAGATAACGACTACATGCAATAAGATTGAAGTTTCTCTCTCTGTCATCGCATTGAACCAATAGAAGTCCTTTTTCTCCTCCAAGTTTGACAAAAAAGTTTCTATTAAATGTAGAATGTCTGAGTTTGCAATAATTTAAAGCCACTCATCATTACAACGAAAGCTTGAATGGCTTCTTTTCACTTTTTATATACGTACTTTAATATTTTTTGTCAGTATCTTTATATAAAATACAGCAGAAATTTAGAAATCATAAACATTTCTAAGTTATCTCCAAGTAGAAGATCTTTAAAAATAAGTATTTAACAATTACTATAACTTACTCCAAAGTTCTGACAAATTGTTGCTCCGTTTGAAATTCTTGAAGTCGAATACATCGAGATTTCCAGCCTGGAAAACCAGCTTCAGCTGCTATTCTCAAAGCATTTTTCTCCGACAAGAGTCGCGAGTGTGTTGTTACCTGTAAATATTTCAACAAAAATATTCATTCATATTTTTCTCAAGAGAATAACATGTAAAATTCAAAAGTTAATTTCTAACCTGAACAAGATAACCACACGTCGTAGTATTGCCTTTTGTTTGAAAACAATCAACCAAATAATTCTTTAAAGTACCGTGTTGTTGGTTTTTGTAATATTCTTCATGAATTTCGCAAGCATCATGTTTCAACTGTGATACTGTGAGTCTGGCAATTGCATCGGGAGATGCACATTGCAAGAGGATATTCTTTGACTCTTCAAGTACCTAAACATAACTTCTATGATATTCACCAATCATTAATTACAGATGAATAAAAGGGAAATGAATACAAAACATAGTCAACGATAACCGCCATAAACAGTACAGTTGTTTCAGACAAACGCAGCTTTTGGGCTGTCAAATAATCGGCTACTTCAAAACATTTGGAAGAACAGCAGTTTTATCTTGATGAAGACTAAGTGAAGTATTTCAAAAATAAATCCACGGCAGCCAAATATTTTGATTTGACACTTTTGATGTTATGAGTGCACTTGATGTGCACTTGTATTGAGAAGAATATGAAAGTAATTAGGTCAAATTTCATGATATTATTTCGACCCTGACAATTTGATTAGTACTGCACTGTTATTTCAATTTGAAGAACATTGATACCCATGAAACGTTTCTATGGCGTGCATGCGTAGACAAAGCAAATGAGTGCATCGTCGCAAGTGTATACTTGAGAAGCTTTTGGCATAAAAGATTATTTGATTGGTGAATGTTGAGACGAATTCAAACTTTTGTTTCGTTGATTAATTTCATCAATTTTCTTAAGAAAATCATTTTTATTTTACTGCATTTTATATAATTAGACTCATTAGTATCTTTATATTAAATCTTACTTTAGAATCAGAGTAATCCTTGCTGTAGTTTTGAAGTACGACAGTGGCTGCAGTGTCGCTGTGATAGCCAACAAAACAATCACCTGGTCCAAATAAACTACATAATAAAATGCAACTTTGTTATCCAATTACAAAACGAGATGGGAAGTAAGGCAAAACAAAATTTAACTGAGCACATTTATGCCAACATTTCATGGCAATTTTCGATCTGTATATTTTATTAGCAAATCAATTCATGCATGTAGGCATTAGAAATATGATCTTAACAATAACTATTTTCTGACAGGCAATGTCGTTTTTTTTTTAAATGACAAATACAAGATGTATTTTGCTCCAGATACCAAATTTCTCATACAAAAACGTATTTGTTTTCAATATACTAATGCTCATATAATTGAATATTTGTAGCATAGAAAGACAACCAGAGCTGAAGCATTCGGGATAAACGCTCAATTCAAGTTGAACACCTTAAAGAATGAAAAATTATAATAAAAGTGTTGATGTGAATTTTTATTTGTCTTAACAATTAATGATACCGCTCATGCAAATAAATTACTTTTCATTTAAATTGTAAATAACATTTATCGACATCTTTGCATCCAAAAGAAATAGCTGGTTCAATAATTCTCCCTAAATATAATCGTAATGGCTGATATGACTGATATAAAGCATACATTTTGCTCTTTTCCTGTATACGTTTACGTTTATTGAAATTGGAAATTTTTCGTCAATACGCAACAATATGAGCTGTAACATAATTTTATGGAAATCATAAATTTCAGACGAAGTGATAGTTAATGTAGCAAAAATGAATTTCAATGACATCTAAGAAGGTACTCATACGTACTTTATTTGACAGGAATATTTTTTCATATCATGCAACATACCTTTCTTGTGATGATTTTTTGGTCGTCATTGTGGAGAAACGTATGACCCATTTTTTAAGTTCTTCAACTAAATATTTTTGATGTTTAGTCAAGCCAGTTGACATTACTAGCAAATGTTTTTCTAGACGATTGATTAAGGGGATTGGAAAGCGTTGGTAAACGTCATCTTTTTCAGCAATCACTATTAATCTAAAGACAAAGCGATCGTTTGAAAATGTAATAAAATTGTAGATATTTATATTATTTATGATGAAACTTGGCAAATTAAAAATATGTTGCATGCTTGAACTAACTTGAAAACGTCACACCTTTTACAGAAACATTGAAAGTTAAGTTGAAAGTGAAAGCTACAATGATAGATACTTGTTCTTACTTCAACCATTCTTTTACCATTTGTATTTTTTTATGTATTTATGTTACTGACAATCTCTGGCTCTCAGAATACATAAACAAAATACAAAATTTTAGTTTACTATTTTTGTAGAAGTGCTGCTGTTTTTGAATTAATTTTCCAAATGCAACACTCATGCTACACAGTACAAAACCTATTTAGTTATAAAAAAGTGAAAGCTCGCTTCTCAGCTTTGCTTCGGCAGATAACAATGACGTCGGTCTGAATAATTCTTGATATCATGCTCAGCCTTATCCAATAATTGCTTAATATAGGCCTACATATATTCATTTAAAAAAATACTGCGAATGTTTTTGTTTCCTAAAGCAAAAATAACAAACAAATAAACTACGCGGACTCTGCTCTATACTATGGGGTTTCCTCGGAGTCAAAACAATTTCAATCACAAAGCCATATGTCGGTGATTTTTCTTTTATTTATAGTTTTTTGAAATAAGTAAACTGCAGTATATTTTTGATATCAAAAAATTAGTTTAGTGTGGTCGGAAAAAGCGATCCAGCAGGAAAATGCCGAAAAGAATATGAAACTTGTTTCATACTCCTTGACGAATTCCTACAAAAGTTCTGCTAAATCACAAATACTTTACGACGTGTTGGCGTCCTAGACCCAGATCCCTTGCGAAAGTTTGACGACGTCTTAGACGAAACGACGTGTTTGCTAAATCACTCTATTATGAAATTATGCGCGTGCGTATATAAATGGTGTGAAGATTTGCCACTCAACATAAGACTGCAAAAAAACATTCATCAAAAGTTAAAACTAAAAACTAAAACTTACTTCACTAAGGAAATTAGGAATTACTTACTTGAAATTATCAGCAACACGGCACTTGACTCGATGGTTTCCTAGGCCAAGATCGACGTACTTTTGTTGATCAAGATACAAGTAATACTACAAAATATTGATGTAAAATACTTTTAAGAAATGTTAAAGAAATGTTAAAACATTTCCTCTAAAGGATCAATTACAAAATCAGCTAATCATAAGAAGACAATATGTGTATAAAATATATAGTTGACTTAAGTACTCTCTTTGCTTTGCATTAAACAAAAATATCCATTCACAAACACGATGCAATAGCTACAATATTAAATCTTCGGATTATTCATTGGAACTAAAGGAAAATCATCAAAGTTTGTGAAAGTTAATTGAATGAATTGATGACTAACGTTCAAAGAAATTCAACACGCACCACTAAACCTTCAATGTGAACTAAGAAAAGAATATTTAGCTGCTCTTTTGTTCGAATTAAATCTTCACTAAATACTGATGCGTAATGAATTTCTTAAAAATGATAATGACTTTTACCTTTTATTTTAGCCATCCATGTTAATCTAATCGAACCTTTGCAAATGTTAATGATTAAAATTCAGTTCGTTCAAAAGAACAATCGAAAGTTTCATTGACGTAGTTATCGCCGTAGTTTCATCACCTTATTATTGAATGCATATGTTTGTTTATTGCAAGGCAAAAAGTGTATTAGTCCATTTTAGTTGTGTAGGGTGTCTCAAAAATTCCTTTTCTGCAATTAATTGGACTTGTAAAATTTGACCCCAATTTTCGATTCACTGCACTTTACTGACAATCTCTGAGAATACAAAAACAAAACACAAAACTTCAGCTTACTATTTTTGTAGAAGTGCTGCTGTTTTTTGAATTAATTCTCCTATATTTCTTTTTTTATAACTTCATCGTCACTCGTTATAACATTAATTGTACCAACCTGGTTTAAAGCATCATAAAGACTTTCATAAAGACTTTTCGAGTTAAGTAAAATCACCATTCTTCCTGTTTCCATGCACACTTTAATACGGTTTATATTTCGACAAATCTACAATAGATAGAAAAATAAAACAGGCTATATAAAAGTATAGCTTTTTCAATGTAATATTTGTCTTTCAGGACATCTCATAACTAAAATTGATTTTGTATCTGTTTGGTTATTTAGGTGAAACACATCCCTCTTTAGCTCATACAATACGTCTTTTTTATGTAATCATATGATATTCAATGTTGACATACAATAATCGGTTAACTTCAATTTTCCCTCAAAGTGCACAAGACAACTACTGTCTGCATATCAACATGGAAAAATGGTTGACACTTCAATAACATTTACAAAAGATGTGTAAAGTTTAATTTAACAACATCTTAAAAGTTAATAGTGAATGGAAAAGGAACGGTCATGAATAACCTGATTGTGTTACATCAACTAATAGGCGTTATGATACCTGTACTTTTAAAATAGCAACAGCATTTTCATTGGAAAATTAATGTGTATGTGTGTGATAAAATTTTAAGTATGAATGACTTGTCTTGTTTACGTTTTGCTAGCAGGAAGACTAATCCCAAAGAAGGTTGAGCTGTTTTGCTAAACTTGTCTGCAAGAACCAGATCTGCCTGCCAACAAAAAGTAAACAGGAACGCCGTTTTAAGAGCACTTTAACTCTATAAGAAGCATAAATTCTAAATATAAATACCTGTGTGTATTGTTGGTCTTTTGGAAAACTGCTGCCAAAAATCACTTCCGGCTCATGCTCACGAAAATCGTGACTTTGAAGTAATCTCAACGCTGCGTAATTTTCCGTTAAGACTAGTAAGTAACGACTTTCTCTGAAATTGTAACATGCAAGAATGTAAGAATTTTTATAATAGCCTTGTTATCCGTTATGACCAATTGATGAACAATTGATATATATATTTCAAATACCCTCTATTCTCTGTTCTTCTCAAAGTGTCATGAATAAGATTTATGGGAAGACATTCCGTTGAAGGATTCTAAACACATTTGCAAAAGTAATTAATATCTGTTTGATCTTCAAGTTTTCTTTACAAGATTTCTGACATATTTCATGCTGTCGTTAATTCATGCAGATTTCTTGGTGTTCAAATGCGAGAAAAGTAGAACTGATGAAATTAATTAATTGCTAATATTTTTTAGTTAGCTGTCCAAAGCGATATTTTTTGTTTTCCAGCAATTTGCTTGGCTGCCTAAAAGGACAGCTTTTAAAAGCGATGTAGCTATATTGTTCAACGAGTAGGCAAAGTGTATTCAGATGAAAGTAATCATAGCAAGAGTGAATTTTACCATCAAAACGAAGCAAAGTTTGCAGAAAACAATCCAAATTCAGTCTCAACATCAAGTTGTATCGGGCCATTGGCCATTTTATAACGCGAATTTCTTATTATATTAAATAGCTTCTTGCTCTCTCAGCTTTTGAGAACAAGAGATATTGACGCATAAGGGAACGTGCATGCATTAAATATCATTGTAAGTTGTAAAATTGCCTTTCTGCTCTTAAAAATTCAACATAACTTTTAAAACCCAAATGGTCAAGTGGTTAGCACAACACGTATTGAAATGTTAACAATTCGAGTCAGCAAATTTCTGGAGGTAGGTTTTATACAGCATAAAAATTTACATGCAGTACAATGATTTAAAAATAAATAAATAACCAGTTGTTCAACGCAAATTTTCATGATTTATTTATAATATTTGTACACCTAAAGAAATTTTTTCTTTCATGAGTAGTACTTTACCTTTATATGCTCAAGTCCTCGGAATTGCCGACTAAATATCTCAACTGGATCAACATCGTCTAAGCCACTAAAATTTCTCAGAATACAATGCTTTAATTCAGTATTGTCAATCCGAGCGCCTTTCGTAGTAATGTTGGCTGATTCATTTACCATCTTTACAAGGCTGTTAAAACAGAACCGTATTGAATGCAGTGATTCTTACAGAAGAGAGATCACAGAGGGCACAGGCTTAAATTGCAAATGATTTAAATTTGTTTGGCACAAGGACTTCAAATCAACGCACAGAGCTTTGTTTACTGTTTCAGTTTCTTAAATATCTGTTCATTAATGTTGCAATTTTCAAATATAATTAAAATTGTGATTGAAGTTTGACCTTACTTAAGGAACACTTTTGGATTGCTCGTTTGGATACATAATGAACTCGACCTAAACCGTAACCCCTCGACTTACCCTTAACAATGCTAATAATTATTGACTACAAAAAACTTATTGGTTAGCTCGTTCTGATCTGGTTGTTAAAAATCACAAAACTATCAATGGCAGGAAGTACAGCTGAGCAGCATAAATCAGGCATTATCTTTCTCACATGCGATTTTTTTATTTCATTGTTAAAGTGGAAAATCAGTCAATGCAACTTGCTCAAATTATACGTTTTTCATGAGCTCCGTAAACGTTTTGTCTGTTGACTTCTTTTCCGAATCTAGAAGATAAGCGAAACACTCTAATTTTAGTCGTATGTTTTATCGTGTGTTTACGCACTATTCAATCGACCTGCAAATCAATAAAAACGTTCATTCAACAAAATGCTACAAGTTCAAGTTGTGGCAAATTATAAGTTCCTTGTGTCCATGATTTTATTTTCCTATTTGGCAGCGAGGCACCTAGCTATGGCCTCCCCTCCAGCTTTCAGGAAAGAATTGGAGATGGAGACTGTTGTGTATTAAACTGAATTCAAAACATGATACAAAAAACAAAGCATATTATGAACTTAATATGAAATTATGATTCTTCCACACATTTATAGCGGGCTTTTAAACCAATATTATCAAAGATTTCATGTTCGATGCTCATAAGCAACAGATTTTGATATGGTCCTTGCTCAATATGATCCTCAAGCCTTGATGTGTTTTAAATTACAAGTTAAAAATTTGTAAGTACAAAATGTTAGTTTTTGAATTTTTTTTAAAACAGATTGGGTAAAAACACATTTGTACTTGTTCATACCTGTAAAAATCTCTGAGACCAAAGAATTCGTCCTTTTGAGCATTTTTTAAAGTTCTTGATTCTTTTTGCTCTTCATACAAATCAAAATATCCATCGCACAACTTTTTCATGATTTCGTCAATATCATCATCCTCATCCCATGAGCATATACCCCTAAAATGAGAAAATCTGAAATTATTTGCAGCATTTTTTCGCTTCTTAGAAAATGTGATTTTTCGTTGAGAAAATATAAACTGAAAAAATTTCAAATTGTTCAAAAGTTAAAAAGTGATAATATGATCTTAGTAGCACGATACTTGATAAACCTTGTCACCCTGTGTCACGCTGATATCAGCGTTGTAGTTGCGTGAAAGGTACGAGTGATTGTAGTCTGATCAGCTGCATTCACTATAATTTCAGTGACCAGGATGTTCCACTTCTGTGTGGTACCCTCATACGTCGAAATCGACGGAGTCCATTAAAAACTTGATAAACATTTTGATAAACAACAGTATTTTTCAGTTTTATATTTTTAATCACATACATATTTCGACTTAAATGTAACTATAAGTCGTCTTCAGTGAGAATGGTTACATTATTTACAATGCGTGACATATAAAATATATCATGATTCTCAATGAATTTATTGATATCGATTTTTTACAAAAGGTTACGGAGTAGTGACAAGATGTGAGTATTGAGGATAAAAATTAGGAAGTTACAGTTTGAAAATAGTGTTAAAATATTGCACTTGTTTATTCAGGTCGGATTTGAGTTTCTGTTTGTATAATTCTTTTTCCTATTTGAGGGTGAATGGAGCTCGAGAGCTGGCAGTTTTTATATGATGGTGAAGAAGAGGAAGTGTATTTAGATTTGCATTCAGTATTTTGTAGATAATTATATGAATGTGTGGGTTTTTTTCGTAGGTCGTATGTTCTTTGATCTTGTAACTTAATGTTTGTTGGTTTCCACAATATAGCAGGCGTTACATCATGAATTAGTGAATTTTTAGACCATGTTTTAAGAGATCATATTTCAAGATCATGTATGTAATTATGAGTTTCAATAATTTAAGCATTGTATTAGCAGCAGATATCTACAAAATGCACGCCAGAGCTCAAAATTGTCTATGCTACAAACCTTGCAATATCCAGAAGTTCGGTTTCGCTTGGTGTTCCTCTACTCAACATTATTCCACGATTCATTTTGGCAGGGTCCAACGCCCAGTTAGATAAACCAATAAATCCTACATGGTTATGATCAAGCTCTTTTCCATATTCTTCCGAAGTAGCTGTACCGTCTTCAAGTAATGGATGAAGTGTCTTCAGTGGCATCAATTTTGAATCTTCAGCTAAACCAATCTCGTCTAACACAACTACGGAGACAAACTTGCTCAAATCTTTGTCTTTCTGAAGTTGGAAACATTGTTTAAAAATGGAAATGATGCCATCAGGTGTAGACAAGGGACTGCATTGATACGACTGCATGTGAATCTAGATGTTAGATATTTCAAAAAAATGATAATGAAAATGAGCACTATTTAAGTGTCTCACAAAGAAGGTCAATCGGAATATGAATCTAAGAGTATTTTAGAATAAGTATTTATTTATTATTTTCTATTTTTAATTACTACTAAATAGATATGAATACAGAAAAAAATTTTTATTTGATTAGCTAAAACTCTCAATAAAACTCTTTCAATGTAGGTATCCTATACTTTCAAGCCAACATCTTTAAAAAAAAACTAGCAATTGCGTTCAGAAACATTCACAAGACACTGGTTTGATATTGTGCAAAATGTTCCAAATTTAAAGCTAATGCTATATATGTGCAGTAAAACATGTTATAAAATAACATATGTAAAACACGTGCCCTGATTGGTCTTTACACATGTGTCGATGAGGCACCAATTTTAATGTCAAACATGGACATTAAAATTGGTGTCGTGAGAATTTTGAGCATGCCTAAAAAGAAAGACGAATTTTTCGCCTATATTGATCTGGACTGCATTTCTGGGAAAATGAAAGGGAACTTAAATCAAGATCAGCGATTTTTCTAAACGTTTAAAGTCTTGCGGAAATTTCACGTTTTAGTGTTTTTGACTTCGCATGCTTGCAAGGATTTAGCTTTCATATTTTCCGTTATTTAAATAAAGCTTCTTTCTCTTTTGAGAATTACATTTTCGTTCACTTATAAAACAATTATACTAAATGTTTTCAGGTGTTTAGATGGCTTGAAGGAAAGAGATAGATCAGGCCATCAAAACACAGACCCATCAAGTATGCCTTTTCCTTGCATTAAACAAAAATAGAGTTTAAATACCATGTATGTGCTATACATCACTAAGCTTTGAATATTCATGTGACCCAACAGAAAATCATAGACACTTGCAAAAGTTAAATTACATGAATTAATGACTTAAGGCAAAAGGTGGAATCTAATACTTAGAAATTCAATAATCATCAGTAAACCTTAAATAGGAACGAAACGATAGCTAAGCATTTTTCGTTCGTTCAAATAAATAAGTGAACGTTTTAATGATGCATTGCACCATGTTATCGATTATTTCTTTTTCATTATTGCTAGGCAAAAGTTTTAAATGTTTATTCTTACCTGTTTTAACTTCTTAAACAGTTCACTACTAGAATTGCCACCTTGCATGTTACTTGAAATTACATATTTTGCTAGAGACTTTGAGCTGCCTGGTTTACCGACTACAAACAGTGGGAGTCGTAGTTCTGCACATATCGCCATCATAAATACATTTTCACAAAGCGCAGTATTTCTTGCAATATTCTGGTCGAGTTTCACATTGCACGAAAACGCTCGCTGACACCTTTGTAAAAAGACATAATTTCGTTATTGACCAAGATCCACGATTGGAAACGTATCGGGTAAGTTTGTGTTTTTCTCCATGCAAGGTATTGCAAACAACACCTTTTAAGTACATTTTCAAATTTTAAATAATGAAAAGCATCATATAAAATTCACAAAATTAAATAGCATATAGCCAGTCTCAAATTTAGTTTTGAACTAATGATTTCAGGGGCGAAACTAAAACACTAACTGGGGAGGGGGTTAATATTCATATATTAAGTACTGCCCAGCTGATTTTGTTTGTTAGCAATTTTAATTTGAAAAAAATTCAGCATGCAGGGCAGAGCTGAATACATCAATATTATCCCTCGCCGCCATTAGCGTTCTGATTTTGCCCCTAGATGATTGTAATTTATTTACCATTCAACAGTCAAAATACCAAAATATGAAAACTCTTACTTTACTATTTCATTTATCAATCTTGTGAAACCTCCAGGAAGTGGGCATGAATTGTCAAAATACTCGCTGATGTATTTGCAATACGACTGTCTTTCATTTAGTCGTGCATAGTAGCAAACACCAATACCTTGGACGATGGAAAACACGATACGATTTAAAGGCTAAAGGAAAAGGAATAATCACATTGAGAGCTGATAATATGACACATTATCGACACGAGATGATTTACTGACACGAATCTATCTTTCAGCTGAATAGTTGAAAAATCTACTGAGATACTCTAAGTAACAAAATGTATGCTATAATAGTGGAGTAAATAATGGTAAGATGACAAGTGCTTAAAGAGTTACACTTATCATATCATGTTTATTTAGGCTACATCTTTATTTAAGATTATATGCAATCCTTTTAACTCTTTAAGTGTTATTGCAGCAGAGCTTTTCGAGGGGCGTTCGTTGCAAAAAACTGTCGATGCTTACAGCAAATACGGAATGATTAAGCTAAGCTTATTCATGTATAGAACTAAAATGAATGTTTCAAACATGCGTGTTGTTGTTATTAAATTGCTCAAAAATGCAGTTAGGAATCATTCAATCATTGATTAATTGCTATAGCTATAAGAAATACGTGATAACATTTAATTTATACTTTGTATGTACACCTGAAAACTTAATCTTACAAGGAGGTCTTCATCTTCTTCTTTTTCTTCTTCTTCACTATCGCTGGAATCATAAGGGGTTTTTTGATCACGTAGATGCTCGTTAGAGTGCAGAATATTATCCCTCATTAAATCATAATTGTTGTAAAACCAGGTGATAACTGTCATTGATCTTTCAACATCACGAAGACTGACAAAACTGCATTCATTCTAATCGTAAAACAAATGAAATTTTAATAGGATTCTTAAATAATTTGATGATTAAATTGCATTTCGAATGCAATGCACCTAACCTTTTGTTCACGCATGAATTCTTGAGAGGCTGACAAAATGTTAGCAATACATAAGATTTGAGCATCAGTTCCATTTATTTTCTCCTTTGATAAAGTAGATGTCTTAAATTGCAAGAAAATTAAAAAATGACGGACTTAATTGCTGTTACTCGCAAGAAAAAGTTTGATTTGTAAATCATTTTTTTCTTTAAAACTAATAATTAAGTAATCAAACAGTTTCACATCGTTTTGTGTCTGCTGTAATTATTATAATTGATAACATTCATGTGTCTGTGAATGTTATCAATCAATAGAAGAATATTTTTAATTTTGCTCATTACTAGGTAATTACTCATTTGAGTGCATGTATTTAAACAGCTCCAGTATTTATAACAAGAAAAGGAACATTCAAACTTACAACTGAAGGAACGTTTACATAGCGCTCTACTATCTGTTTGGTGTACAGTTTTTCAGTGTCATCTGAGAGCTGACCAAAATCCCAAATAAGAGGTCTCATACTTTCAGGTAAAGGATGGACACGATACACGAGCTGGCGAAGAGGAATGGAGCCTAGAAAAGATAAACATCACACAATAAAAATACGTTTGTGTTTTTTATTATTTTTATACTTATGGCAAAAATGCGATTAACTCAATTACAAAATTATAAATATTTCATCTTCAAAACTTGTAAATGAAAACAAAGATTAAAGGCGCTTTCTATAAAACATGATAATCAATGCTTTGTTACACATATATCTCGATGCCATACCTAGTTTATCTTCAGTCTCGTCGGCAGAAACATGGTAACCCAGACCAGCTGACTCCAATTTGTTAATCATCTCGTCAGTGTGTCTTAAATGAAAGAAAGCAGTAACTTTATAAATTGTTCACACATTCACAAGCAAGCATTATTTAAAAAAACAAAACAAATTTAAAATTTCAAACTAACTTCCTGTACGGATTACACGCTGCAATAAAATGAAGTCCAGTCAACGTTGGATCGATATATCGACCCTTCACTCGCCGATCAACCATTATCTCTTTGATCAGATCGATTGCATCTGTTGTATTTGCTTCATCAAAGAACAAAGTTGTGTCAACATTTATGCTTTGGTTACGTAAAGCCAATTTTTCTGCTTCGGCGACATTCTTTTCTATTTCCTTGTAGCTTGTTCCGCCATGAACCTATTTAAGCACATTGGAACATTGCATCGATAAATTACAGCACTGCCCTGCTTTGAAGAACTTCTGCAAACATGTAATCATATACATTTGTAGAAAAATTGATTTTTATTGATTCTGAATTAACTACAAAGGTTAGAGTATTCTATTTGTTGATGCATGAGTAATCACCATGCTTTTGCTAAAAAAATATAAACATTTCGATAAAAACATGAAGCTTTTATAGTAATGTCAGACAACAATACTGTGTGCATGAAACCTTTGGCAGAGCTAAGAGTCAAAAAGATTGGTCGGCGGTCGCTAATTAATAAAATTTGCTAACCTTCATGAGAATTAGGTTTTCAGATCCATTAAGTCCGGCTTGTAGCTGGCACATAAACCGTATCAAACTTGTTTTACCACAACCTGTCTCCCCCATCACAATGACGGGAATACCACATCTACATCGATGAGTAATAGAAGGTTTGTGATTATTTATTTCAGTATGTGTGACAATAAAATGACAGATTTATTAGGCAAGACAAACAAGAAAATGGCAAAAGATAGTTTCAGCTGTTTTGGAAAGTAAATTTAGTGATTACCGAAATCGAAAAACATTTACTGCACTAAATTTACCGAAATCGCATGTGAATAGCCAAGATTTTCTTCATGTTGTCATCTGTAAGCTCGTATGTTGGATCAGGATCAAATGGATGGTCAATTCCCATGACTTTACATAAGTGATTAATTCGTTCTGGTCTAAAAAACAATAATTAACATAACAGTAATTTATGTTTTGTTTTGGAAACAAAAGTTAGAGATATTAACTGAAAATGAGCATAAAATTCCTTTTAACAAAAATATAAAAAAATATAAATACAATTACTTTTTTGTTAAACAAATCATGTTTTTGGTATAAAAATCCAATGAAAATGGTAATTTTTTGATACAAAAAATCACCACAATTTCACACAAAATTGTACACAAGTACAATAAACAAATTAAGCTATGTCACTATTAAATATTAGCTACGCAAACAAGGTTGTATGTGATTATTTGCATAACAATAATAATAAACAAACCGTTCACTTCTTTCGTAGTTTACATCAAAATCTACCCCTTGGGCCCTCAGTTGTCTTCTTAAAGTTGGTGACATCAAGCCATGTTTTAAAATTCTATTACTTCCAGGATCCAGCAAATCTCCGTTTTTATTCAAAAAGAATCCCAAAAATGTCATGCTGTTATGATCATGGTGGAAGAAAATATACGGATGAGGACTAAAAGAAATCCATACGTCGTTAACAACAACAGATCATCTAAAGCATCTACTCAATGAAAGTTCAATGTTAGAATGTTTTCAATAAAACGTGCCGTGAAGATATAGCGCCTGGTGAGCGGATGCATAGTGTGATTTTGATCAATCTGTTTGCAGTGCATTCACAATTATTAATGAGCTAAGAAAATATTACCTTATTTCCCAACGTCGGTGAATTTGGAAGCGTTGTAGATCGTCATTCTCTTTTTCAGAAGTTTCATCAACATTTAAATTGGAATCCATTAACGATCTTGTAGCAAAGTCCTTGAACAAAAATATCAAAAAACTAAAAGATGCTCGACTAAAATTGGCAGATGATTCAGTTAGGTGTATTTATTAAGATAATTACAAACAAAATGAAAACATATTTAGACTATGGAAGTCTGTTTTTGATAAATCTTAAATAGGATATTAGTAAATTCCTTGGATTCCAGTCACAGTTAATTGTCTCTTTTAAAGTTTAAAGCAAAAGTTACTAAAATTATTGTTTCTGACTTTATACTAAGAATTATTTTATTCAGTGAAGCAAATACAATTCCACAAATCAAATAGTAATGTATTTTACATCAATTTAAAGTAGCATGCTAAAATATGAAACTTACCCTTGACATTTGTATCATAAAGCGAACAACAAATGTTTTAAAGCCTTGCAACACATCCCGAACTAATTTAGCGTTGCAGAAAACACTTTTCTCACAATCACGCAATTGAACATTTAAAAAGTTTACAAAGTGATGAAGTTCTGTCCAAGATGGATCACTTATTCCACAGCATCTGCATAAAATGGAATTCATAAAGAGCATCCACAAACGGTAAATTAGGCAGGGAATTTACATAAAACAAAAAAAAGGCATGAAAATTTAAAATTAGGTGCATTGAAGACCCAATATATAGCTTAATAAATTCAATAATTTTTAAGTGTTTTTTGTTACATGTACACAATTTCCTTATAAAAGTTGGAATAAAGTAAGAACAATTACTTACTCAATTAAAATAGTTAAAACGCTGACCGGATTGCTTACAAGAGGACCATTGATATATGAAAAATTGTCCAAGTTATGATCAGTGTATGTAAGCAATAAATATTCGAATGCTCTTTGATATTCTTCACTGTTGAATTTAACCTTGTCGAAGCTCGTGTCTCCTAAATTTTACATGAAAATTTTTCGTGAAGTAGAAGTAGGAAAATGTTCGTTTTTAAAAGCATTTAAAGAACGATCATGTATTGTAATCTTAAAAACTGCTAACCCGATTCAATTAATAAAACGTAAATTTAACAAACTAAATGAAAAAAAATGTTTCATTTTTTACTCTTATCAGTTATAGCTATTTTCTCCCTTTTAATATTCTATCAACACAATTACTCGTTTTCCTATAAATACCAATAGTATATGAGCCTGAGCCTTCCAACAAAGTAATGTATATGTAAACGTTCATTCTTACCATCCCTTTGGAATTCCATGTTTGTTAGTGTTTCCCTTGGTGAAAGACAATGGATGCTTGGTAAAAACTTCATAAACGAATACTTGCCGCTTGACTGTCGATTTTGCGAATTCTAGGTTTTAAAGGATATTCGTGGTTAGTAGCTGAATGATTATAACTAATTTCATTTTCATGTTTCAATGACTAATCATATTAAATTCAAAGAGATCATATCGATGATTGTGACATGGTTGGGACACTTTAAATACATCAAGCTGTTTACTTTTAAAAATCAAAAGCATGGGCAGAATTCCATGGTCATTCTTTTGATCTGATAGACATTACAAAGGCAACGTTTACGATATATATCTGACGACTGTTGGTTTACTTTGTTTTGTTTCACCTCGTTTCGTTTTGTTTCGTTTTATTTGCTTTTATTCTAAAAAGTTAATTTCTGGTACGCTTGAAATAGATAAATCTGAAAATATTCTTCAAAAAAATGACTAAATAAAGTTTTAATTGTTTTTTGTTGTTGTCGCTTTTAAATCTGAGTACACAGTCCAGTATAACTGTTGCCTTAGAGAAAAATTAAAATTAAAACATAATTTACCGTTTATGAGATTTAACGGAAAAATTCTCGAGGCCTTTGACGGTAAATAATAAACATGTATTCGTAAATGGAAATCAATAATGAAAGAAACACTGAGTTGAGTCTTGTAGCAGACGTGTGCGTTTGCAACTATGCAACTTGTATCAAATTTTTGCTTGCCATTTCAGTTTTATGTACATTTGACATATTAGCAAATGAACTGAAACCTGCCTTAGGGTCGTTCATATGAGCCCGGTTAGCGAGGCTTCTCGCCTACCTATGATCTTGCTTTGCAATACATTTATTATTTATATTTACGTCGTGTTCATATGACAAAGCGGGCTGGCCCGGTTGCCAAGATCGCGGCTGTAAGAGACGATGAAATTATGATATTAAATACATAAAGTAAATGGTTTGAATCCTGGAGTATCGTTACATGTTTGTAAATGCAGATCGTCCAGGTTGGTATAGCCCTGAGAAGGACCGTTTTTGTTGTTGTTGACTGACGTTTCAACAACCGTAGCGGTAGTCATCTTTAGAGTCAAAATGTCTTTTACTATACCAACCTGGACGATCTACATCTACAAACACATTAAAAACATGGTGACCAATGGAGTGTAGCTGGGACTTAAGACAAAATAAACGAATTATACGCTGGAATAATGGCATGATTTAAAGTTTAATTCATTATTTGAAGATAACAGTAGTATTCAATATAAAAACACATTATATAAACGGCAAAAACCCATAAAATACTAAAAATTCCTTTCTATTATGCGCCATGTTAATTTTTAACTCGCGGAATTTAGGAAAGTGATGTTTTGCTATTTCGTCTCGGTAAGCGGGATTAAATTCCTCATATGAAAGCGAGGTAGTATTTGGCTCACTAAGTGGGATGTCTCTCTAACTGGGCTCGTATGAACAGGCCCTTACTACATATACAAAAGTGCTTCGTGAAAATAGATTTTAAGTAAAAAATATAAATGTTTACCTGAATTTGAGTTCTTGAACAATTTTCAGACGTTAGCATCACAAATGTCTCGTCGGTTGTGTGTTCAACAACATACAAATCCGTTGTTTTCCTTCGCCATATGTTTCCATTGTTATCTTTGATTGATCCGAGAATCAATAGTTTAAATAGAATATCATCAAGTCCTTTTGATACCTAAACAAAATTCATACAGACAGATTTGTTTCTTCGCTAATTACTATCTTTCCACAAGTTGCAGAGAAACAAGAAAGAGCTGAGATAAGATCTTCATTGAAAACATGTTTATTGAAATTAGTAACTTTTTTCATACATGGTTTATGCACTTGAATTTAAGTGTAAAACTTACCGATTGAGAAATATCTAGATGAAAAATTCTGGAAACAGGAGCATCTCCTTCTGACATATGTGAAAAAAAGTTGCGAGTGATCTCATTTTCGTTAACACACACACCATGGACTGGGATAGTACAGCATAATGGTGATTTGATGTTTCCGGAATGTTCCCTTTCGTTGTTTAAAATACTTTCTAATTGTTTAGTCAGACGTTTTACAATCAAACTTTTTCCCATGCCTGCTCTTGATGACTTGATAAAACGCACAAATAACCTAAAAAGTTATTTAATTATGTTTATTCCCTGTAAAAGTTTTACAAGACAAGGCAAAACATAAAGCTACAAGGCATCAAATCTAAATGAGAATCTTTTTCTACTTCAATTACACATTTCTTAGAAAAAAACATACCTGATAGTAATTACAATAAATTGACATGTTAATAATACATACTTTTCTCGATCTACATTAGCTGCTGCTGTACAAACGTGGTCATTAAGATTAGGTTGATATAAAAATTTTTCTTTCAGATATCTTTGGATACAATCCAATGACGTTAGTGGAGGAAGTGAGCGTCGATAATGATCTAATGTTTTCACTATATTTGATTTGTCGTTTTCTATGCTGCATACCACCACCAAACGATATTCTCAGAATTATAAAGAAGTAAAGGCAAGACTTAAAATAAAGCTATTTTAAAAGACAATATGTAAAACTTTTGATCACACGTTTCCCCATAAAACCAATTAGCATGGTTTCAGCATTTGTTTCTTAATTGATCATCTGTTACATACATGACAACACAGTGTCATAAAACCTTTACAATGACATACAAAGAAATTTCACTAAATTGAAATAGGCTAAGCTAGCTTATGTTCATAAACATTATAGCTTTACGAAAGAGGTTGATAAAAAACATATTATGATGTGCAAAGTTCATTGCTGAAAAATTTTAGCATTGTAGATGACTTCGTGTAAAACAGTGCTTTGAAAGAAAATCACTTTTAAGTGGACTGTTATTCTCCTGTTTCTGACGAAGCTTTCAAAATTATTGACATTATTAGATAATGTTGATATATTATTATGAGATAAATTGATAAGCATAGATAATGTAGATTAATGCTTGTTAAACTTACTTTGTTTTTCTTGAGTCAACGATTCAAGTAAACGTAATGCTTCCTGACTGACGTCAAAGTCCAAAAGATCTGCATTAACAAGACAAAACAATCGACCAGTATCATCACCTACAGCTCGTCGCCAAAGTAGCTCAACCTATATAAAAACAAATTTATTGGGACCTTTGATCTTTTGAATATTCATGATTAAGGCATGAACACACGCTTAGCATCACTATGTTTGATGTATGTCCAATATAGATAAGAATTTTCTTACTTCTCTTAAGCATTCACTACTTACAAAACAAAATTAAACATGAAGTGCAGCAAAAAATCTTATTTTAGAGGCTGTAATAAATGAAGGATCTGGAGTTTGTCTAAATATGGTACAACATTGAGCTTATTCATGGATCTCTTATACTTTTAGGGTTTAATTCTTATAAAATTCATCGCCCATAGACTCATTATGAAAAGGTTTTGTATTTAAAATTAAACAGCAGTTTTTATTTTGACGGACGTTGGCATCTTCTGCTCTATGTTACTGAAAGAATTACCAATTTTAAGAATTCAGGAATTCAAGCTGACGATAAAAATTTAAAAAGTTGAATGCACAACGCACAGTAAAATTGCAGCAAGAATGTACCTCTTCTAATGTCGTGTTCTCGTCACAAACAACCACCTCTTCGTCACTTGGTAACGTTTCGTTTTCAAATCCCATGAAAAGAGACAGCACGCATCCAAAAACTTCACCTGGTTTAAATGACAAATTTAGAATGACATTCAAACTCTTTCTCTTGCGAGGAAAGTGTTCTGTCTACGGTTAAGCAATTTATACTAAAGTGTAGGTAGAAGTGGTTTGCAAAGAAATAATACAAATCAACAGAAAGAACAAATACCTTTGGACACAAGTAATAGATTTGGCTCTTCTTCTTTAAAAACTGTAGGAAATTGACGATCAATGCGACTACATTCTGCATAAAATAATCAAATGGTTAATTTTATAAGATAACAATTCCGTGAACAAATATTTCAACACAACTACAAACAGGTATATGTCAAAGTGAAAACTATTTTCGTGACAATTTTGTCTGTTTCTACGATTAAAAATGAACTTGGCTGCAGATTTTTTAACAAGATAATTTTAATGTGTCAGCCGTTGGCAGTATACGAAAAAGTATCAATCATCTCAAACTGCCACGGTAGAAGGAAAACAATAAGGACATGATTGAATTAAAATATTATAGCAATAGAGTGAAGAAAGTCACCTTTAGAAAGCTGACAGAAAGACTTGCAGTTGCTACTTATATAGTATAAATATGTTGCAAAATGTGATGTATTTGTTTAATAAAAACCTTTACAAAAGTAAGTCGTGTGTCTGAATTGTGATTTAGCGCAGATAAATCCAGTGAAGTTGCCGTAAAATCATGATAAAGATGATGGTTTTCTGTTTTTCAACCAAACATATTGATTTAAAACAACAGTAGGCGACTTAAACGACCAATATTAGCTAGTACCTTTAGTCGATATATTTCATGCGATGGAAAATGTTTCTTGACTCAACATAAGTGCATCGCCAAGCTCAGCTTTTCTTAGATGAACATACTATCTCCCCGAGTTATCTTCATCTCCTTCATTTAAGTATTACAACCAGAATGGTTTTGGTCTCAGATTGCATGCATGCATTAATTATCCTTTTAGTTTTATTAGTCTTTGTTTTGTTTGTAATCTTATAGGTATGTGTCTGCGCGTCTTTTTAGCGCCTGAGATAAAACTTACGCGTCCGTATTTACTACTTTTATTTTGTTCTTGTGTAGGTAAGTCATGCATTATCGTAGAAAATCAAACCTTTTTCTGAAATCTTTTCCAGCACAGCAGCTAAATTGTCCAAAGATAAATATTTCGTGTCCTCGTTATTCACGTGGAAAGATTCTTTTTTATCATTTTTTCTAAATTTGCAAAAAAAACTTGTTTCAAACTTAGTATTCAGCATAGTTTAATTTTTTCCTTCATTTAAAAGTCATAGATTAAGGCTTGAACCAACGGATAAGATAGCACTTAGAATACTATTGTACTGTATATTTAAAAAAGCTAATATCAAACAGTAAAAAAACAACTAACTATTTTCATGATTACAAATGTTGCAATGTTTTGGAAAACTAGTAAATATGTTTTTCATTTGAACTACAGAGATTTTACATAAATGAGCTTTACCTGGTGGAAAGAGTAATGTCATGTTCAATGTGAGGGTCTGTGCTAAGCATTTTCGTAACAAGATCAGAAAGATGGGGATTTTCTTTTGCTTTTTGTGATAAAGCGAAGATTGTGTCTTCATCTTCATTGCAATCAAAAACCCATTCAACAAGATTATTCTCCGTTGCCTTTCGACCACAAACTTGCAAAGCAGCAAGTATATAATCTTCATCATAACCCACAGACTCTATAATCTCTTTAGCAGAAGCAAGCACTTCAAATGAATTTTGCCTTTGTATAGGCGTAGATGGTGTCGGACGTGACCCTGGAACATCCTCGCCTTTTATATACACAGAATTCTCTGGAATTATCGACTTAAGTACATTTGCAAGTATGATTGGATTAATACCAATCTTGACTGTTTCAAGAAGCACAAATAATTGCGGTGGAAGATCATTTACTGCAGTTTCACCAACACACGCCTTGAAGAGTTCTTTTCGTAAGGTTAAAATCTGCTTCATAGTAAAATTATTTAAAGAGTAACATTGCAATCTCTTTTGTACTCAAGTATGTTTCCATTTTTAAATCTTTTCCATTTTTCACAACATTCACTGATATTAGAGAGAAGATTGTTTCTTTTGTTCTTGTTTACTGCACTGAAAATTGATTTCCAGGTGAGATAACTGATTTCGCCCACTTCACAAAGTTGTAAGTAAAGATTATTTAGTCTCTGAATTTTCCTTCAAAACCTAAATCAAAATGCATTAAAAGAAGCATGAATTATAACAAAACTAGTTCCGCATACGGAGGTGGACAAAAGGTAACCATCCCCATATAAATCTCTGTCTTGGTTTGTAGCACATTATAATATCGAAATAAAGTCTTACGGTAGAGGAACAAAGAAAACAAAGTAGCAATGTTGACAATCGTTACCTATTGCTTTAATGCCACAATTAAAAGAAAATAAAGTTTATAAGAAATCCCAGGCAAATTGTTGCCGTCATTCTATTGTTGTTCTTATACATCGCAGAAAAGAGCGTTCTACGGCAAAACTTACACTCTTTTCATGCATGTATCCTTCTACTCTCAATGAAATAGATTTATGAAAATATTTTTGTTCCTTTTTGTAAGTCCTAAGATTTTGTAAAGGCTTTGAAATGAGCACGAACATATTGTATATAAATATAGATATATAATTTTATATGATATATTTCATGTGTGGTCATCAAGAGCTATAACTATCATGCACAAACGAATCTTTTATTCTTTTACGATGTCATTAGACTACAACGGGCAAACATGGGATCTGGTCATATAAAATTTTGTGGTTTCCAAAAGCAACCATTGACAAGAACCGTTTACAAAGCTTTTGAATAAATGTATATTCCGAAATAAATTGACAAAGTAAATAACCTCATTGAATTGGTCCACTTCTTCCTTTCCACTTTCCGCCTTTCCTGCAATTAATATTAACTTGCTTTGAATATCCTTAATTTCATCCAAACTGTAGATTTTTCCCTCCTCGATTCTATCGGCATCTTCTGCAACAACAAGAACAACGACCTCTTCAGGTTTTACACTTTTTTCAAGCTGTTACATTTAGTTTTTCAAGGTCAGCTATGTAATAAATACCACATGAATTGATTGCTTCTACTTGGACCATTGTTGTCATAGCAACTGAGCCATGTGACTCCTTGATCTGCTTCAACCAAGAAAGATTTCTTTGGGTTGTTTCCTTAAATTTAACAATAAATGTAATTTAGAGTTTAGCAATATAATTTAGTAAGTTGTTGATTTAATGCAAGAGCAAGTCAAATATTTTTTATCTGCGACGTTTAAGATAACGTCAGACTTTATCATGCTGACTCATTGGTATTATACAGTTACAATCTAATTTTAGTTACACTACGTCATATATTGTAAATAGCAATTATGCCATAATTATAAAAGAGACATTACGTCATCCTTTATATAGACATATACATATAATTAGCAGACTGCTAAAGCGAGGGGGATGATTTTTGAAAAACATTGTGTAATATGAAAGATACCGTACGCTCGTGAGATTTGGCTATTTGTTGTTGGATGTATCGTCGTGAGAATTTGAGGACGGAGAAAAGTTAAAGATATTGTTTGAGAAGCAAAGCTATTTATTGTTGTCGTAGACAGATAAGTTTAAACTATCCTGTTATTCTTGTTCTGATAGCTTTCTTTCACTAATATAGAAATAGTTGAAGTCTTCGTTCTTAAATTTTTCTTGCTACAGTGAACGTATCATATCAAAACAGTGTATTGTATCAACATAAACTTAGCTACCAGAACTTCTTACGCATTTTATATTTAGAGTCTTAATTATAGTGCAACGGAGTTCATTCGTTTCGTACCCTCTAAACTTGCTGAGCTCATGTTTCCATGATCAAGAGATGAATTACAAGTTTCAAATCGGTTTATAGATGTAGGTCAAATGAGTCAAAGAATGCCGCAATAAATTTAAGTTGTCATTTTCAAAAATAATTATTTGAGATATTCATTTTGTTTCTATCCATGCAGTTCAAACAAACGATTGCACTTTACTAGCTTTTGTCAATAGTTGGATTAGCATCAACCACTTGCCAGAGACGTTTGCAAAGATCCATCAGTTCAGGAAAACCATGCTCTTCACTATAGCCAAATATCAAGGAGCTAAAGCCCAAACAGCTCGTATGCATACAAGAAATACGGTCGATTTCCAAATCGCTTTCCCCAGCTGATATCATGGCCAGATCAATAAATACCTTTAACTCTTTTTCATCTAAATAGTGGTAAAAAATTTTAGAGCTTTTATATGTGGCACAATAATCAAACCAGTTAAGACGATCCATTTCTTAATGATATCAAATCATTTAGAAGAAATAAAATTTGTGTACCTTTTGTAAACTTTCTCACCCAATGAACCAGTTCGGCACTTTCGGCAAACACTTTTAAACAACTTTTCCTGTGACTATTAATTTCGGTTAAACAACTCTCCACATTTAGAAGATCATCATCTATATCGTTGACGCACATATCGCTGGAAGTCTCAGAAGATATAATCTAAGAAAAACAAAACAATATTTGTCGTGTGCATTCATGTATTCGTTAAGCGATGGAGGGAATTGTATGCAATTAACTAATAATTCTTTTTAAAATAATGCCTACTCTTGCATAAAAATTTACTAAAGTCCAAAAGATGCATTTATAAAATTTATGTAAAAAAACATGTAAGTGACCTGATATAAGCTCTGTGCAATTTGGTTGCATTGTGAGGAATTATTACTTGCTTATTACTGCATCAAGTAAACTAATCATTAGTAAAAATTGGCAAAGCAAAATTTTCGTTGTATTTATTATCCCATCCATGTGTTTTTTAATTTTGGATTCATAGTTGGACAGAAAATACATGGTGTCCCCGAAAAGAACCGTCTACGGTAATCCATTTTTGGAAAACCTTGCACAATGCAAAAAAGCAATGACCTGAACGAAATAACATTCAAACGCTTGTGTAACTTTAAGGCAAGGCGCTTGTAAAGCAGCTCCATCTTTTTAGTGTCTGGTACACATGTATTAATCATACAAAGACAATAAAACTCCTCTATAAGCATACACTGTAGAAAGAAAACATTTTTAGAAAGTTTTTACATTTTTCTCTACTTGAACAAAAGGAAATCTAGTGGAAAAATTATTCAGTCTTATCCAACTTAAAAACTTTTCAAACAAGTAATAAAGTGTTGGTGTTAATGTACCATAAATATAGAATTTTACTTCATCTAAAACCTTTTAAAATAGTTCACTTAGGACGAACATTATTACCAGTAGTAATAATGTCATACAAATCTATTTATCATACCTGTAGAATATTTTCCACCTCAGAAAAAATCTCCTTTAATTCATATTTGTCTCGTAAATTCAGATCACCACAGCACACTGTTCTAGTTCGAACAGCTCTTTGTATTTTAAGTTTATTCAATGTACTTTTTAGATTTTCGTCAACATTTCACAAACAAATGATTTGAAAGCATTCGAAACTTTTTTCGAAGGAATCGTAACACATTTCAAAACGAACTCAAAATGTCGTCTGTTTCTTTCAGTTTCATTTACCATCGAAAAAATTTTTATTCATAGTCTCGAGTTCTTTTCTATTTCACTAACTTTTCTCCAATTATGCTAATATTAACAACGTGTTCTTTATTCTTGACTTTCTCCGCGTAATTCTTCCACAATGACTTAAAAATTTACTTTTTCTATCTCATTTATTCTTGATATCGTATCAAGAATTTTTGTTTTAAAAAACAAAAATCGAACGCCCCGTTTAGGTTTTTTTTGACAATTTGACATAAGGGTAGGTCATCATAATCTTTAGCAACCCTTCTCGAAGTGTAGAAAACTCTCATCAACTGAAAGAAAACAATTTATCAATATTATTGAAAAATTGACGAATGAATGAAAATGACAAACAAGTTATCATGGTGATCAATGTAGATATAAATAAATATTATTTCCGCGAATAAAAGAATTAAAGATTAAATTTTACATAAATAATGTGCGCATATGAATCGAAAATAAACCAGGAAAGGACATTACAAACATTTGTAAATCACTAAGCAGTATAATGTTACTAAATCTAATCACTTAATAAGATACAGTGAGTATTGAAAGAGTCGGATTGATATTACTAAGAGTCATTATTCTAAGTATTTCAGCTTACAGTCTACTTACCTGCTGTGAAGTGTTCAGTTATTTTCATAAAATGCACGAGCTGCTCATGTACGTTTTTGAATTCAGTCAGCTCTGATACTCTTTGTTGAAACCAGAACTCAGTAGTCGGACAATTTTGTTCAATTTCTCCATTAGACTCGGCAAGCTTCAAAAACTGGGCCGAATTCCTTATCAGCAGTTCCACCACTTTAACTGTAACTGTACCATCACGTACAGACTTTATTAAGCTAACTAGATATGATTGTGCTCGAGTAATCAATTTGTCACAATCGCCAGCCTTTATTAGTTCTTTGCTTTCAGAATTACTACCTAAACATACAAAGAGCAAACTTCTAAGTAGATATTCGTTAGGGTGAACTGTTTTACTTTGAGATTTCTGCTGTTTTATAGGCCTGGAACGATAAAAAAGTTAAATTTTCCAACCTGCAGAGCGAGGACTTAGGTTTTATTACGTTTTTGCTTTAAAAGTGCAATTTCCATGGTCAATAGCTTGAAAACAAAAGAAAAACCTAAAAAGACTTCGCGTCTTGTTCTGATTCATATTTTGAAATCTCGAGATGTTTTGTTTCTTCGTTTTTTACTAGTTTTCTTTTGTAGAAAAAAATTGAGAAAATTTTTCTAAACCTTTATTTTTATGGAATTAAGGGCAGGAGACATTACTTTGCTGCTCTGACATTTTGTAAATGTTTAATTTTAGCTAAAAGTACTTATAATGGTAATAAGGGATGACATAAAATTTTAAAAATTGAATAATTATTTTGTATAGTAGCTAGTTATGAATTCATCAAATCTTGTAATATTTTTGTACATTTTCTTAAAACGATTGTGTGGACACGATTTTTTATTCCTGTGATCGAGGAATTACATTTTAGAGAGCTGCCATGTTCATAATATACCATCGTTAAAAGGAGAGCTATCCCGTTAACGTTAATATAAAGTTTATATATTCAATTATGTCCGGGTTAATTTCTATTGAAAGCCAAGTGCTTTATTTCCTTAGGTGAATTACTTCGAAGAGGAATTAGTCTGGTACAAATGAGTATATGAATAAACCCCCTTCCTTTGATGAACGTTCCAGGAACGTCCCTGAAAAACAGGTTAGCTGTGTTAATGTTTACGTAATTTTGCAGTTTCTGTTGCAAGAAAGGGTGTAAAAAGAGCATTTAATAATGCTTTTGAATAAAACATTTTTGCTTTTTTACAAGAAAAATAGAAATGAAGAAAAAAAACTACTTAAAAAACTCTTACCTAAGAGATTTGAAACTTAATTAATGACTCAGTTACACTCCACAACTGATTGCAATCTTACCGATGAACTTAAAAAAACCAGGCCATACAGACCAGTTTAGAAGATGGTTAAGCAAAATTTTTTCCTCCTCCTTCGAACTCAATGAAGTTTCTTCTTTTTTTATTTGATCAGGCCAGGCTTTGTAAAGCAAAACACTAAGCAATTCCATTGCTTTTGTTGAGTTTTCCTGGCTTAAATATTCAAAAGCTTCTCCGCTGTGACTTGTCTAAATATATCACAATAATAATACCAATAATAACTGATTTAGATAAACTGTTTATAGCGTTGTAAAACAAAAGTTCTAACCTACTGCATAGGTTGAACATTTTATTTTTACAAAGATATTTCAAAGACACAGTAGATCTTACAACGAGATCAAACTACTTCACCGCTGTTGATCAATGATTTTTTATAAATGAACAAAGTTTTTATGTCGATCGTTTCGTTGACTATAACTATCAAATTGCACTTCTAGGAAATGAAACATTCGATTCCTAATTTTAATTAACTTTATGTTTTTATTGTATTAAATGAATTGCACCAAATTTGCCTTGTACATGGTCTTGTATACACCAAAACGTTTTTTGAACTTGTTTTGAAGTTTTGCATTATAATACGCTTGCCTGAATTTCAAATGCACAGTGCCTTTAAACTAAGGTTTATAATTCAAAAGTAAGGAAGTAATGTTTCTTAATTTACAAAAACATGTGCTTTTTAATATCAAAACTTAAACCAGTTACATTTTTTAACTATAACACAAAAGAGACACTTTTAAGTTTTAAGCAGTTACAAAGCCTACAATTCGCCAATAACTAGTAACAAAACTTTTAAGAGTTTATAAAAAATAGAATGAATTAAAACTTACAATAACAACTTTCTCAACGGCTTCAAAAGCAGCGTCACATAAACACGTTGATAGTACATCACAAAGTTTTTTCTTCTCCTTCAGGAAAAGCAGTTCTATTTGACGGAGAGGTGACACCTACAGAACATAATTATTTATGTTAGGTTTTTCGTCATATGTTCGCGTTATAATTTATGGATGTTTTATTTAAAGTTAGCATGGACGTTAGAGCTGGAGTTACAAACATTTTGACAGATGACAATAATTTTTGTTGTTTTTTTTGTGTGGTGAAGAATAACTACTTTTTAAACATTATTGGCTATAAACGTTTTGCTATTATATTTTATTTATGACTTAAAATACAGTGGCGTAACGAACTCAATAAAATTGTGGCTAATAATCGTATACATCCATGTTGTGGCGTTTTATACGTTGCTTTGAAATCAATTGTTTTCTGCTGATTATATCATGCATATATATATGTATATATATATATATATTGGCCTCTACCAGCTATCAAGCCTGACGCAAACAAATGTTTGAACAATTGTTTATTGTTCAAATTTTCAAATATTTCAAATTTTCCGCCATACGTACGCAACTATTAGTGGATACCATACACTTCAAAGTGCATATAAACATTACTTGGTTTTTACACTATCCAATGTACGTGGTGTCAAAAACCATACTCCAAAATTTTGATGTAATCGGACAAATATTTTGCGCTGTACAGTACGTCCAAGTTGCAAAAATATACCATTTTAAGCGCTCGGTTTTACCGCTAAATGACTGGGCTTGCATGGTCGGGTGACGTTATGTAAGTAACCGCTTGTAGAAAGTGAGTGCCGAGATACATTGCTGGTGGGACAAATTTATCTCAATAGAGAAGGCTTGACAAATATAAATTGCGCAAACAAATAATAGATGTAAAGGAACTAGCAAATGATGCTTCAGCTCTTTGTAGACAATTAAGTACAATTGCACAATCCTCAGTGTCTCTGAAATTGTTCATAACATTTAGGATAGATCACGTAATGGAAATAAATGTCGATTTCTTGATTTCTCGAGGTATAATGCAGAAAAAATATATATATCCCGTCAAAATACTAAACCTACAGCTGGCACAATTCATGACTATAGCTTTGCGCATGGCACTGCCATAAGGACAACATCCTGTTTTCAAAACTGCGAGACTATGAAATAAGTACATGCAAGCCAGAATTAAGGAAAACAATTAATTTACAAATTTCAAGTTCGCCTTTTAAACCCCCTAGCCAATTTATAAGATGTAGTTAAATAATCGATAATACTTTTTAAATACTAATGTGCTTTTTTTAATGGACTTTCATAAATTCAAAGAACATAGTAACATTCTTCAATTGCAAATTGTATCCAAAATCATAAATATTAATTTTCTTTAACAGATTTACCATTAACAAGAAGGTTTTCTCTTGCGTTGCAAATAATAGCAGAATCGAGGAAATGAGAGTCATAAGAAAGGTTCTAATAGAACAGATAATTACCTTTTTAACTCGATCAATTAACTTAGCCATAAATTCGTCACGCCACGAATTTTGAAAGAGATCTGGAGCAGAAAACGATAGCACTTCATTCCAAACCTAACAAAAAGTAATAATTAAATGTTTTAAATATATCATTCAATAGATCAAGTACATGAGCTAAAAGTTAGATCATACTACAGCTACTTTAGATGTATAATACATACTTGATTTTACCTCTATCAAAAATTACTGTAAATATTTACATGATGATAATAGAGAGTTTCAGTTTCGCGTTTACGTAAGCTAAATTTCATGTTTTGTTGAAAGTCTTTCGATGAAAAAGGCATATTCATGTTGTATACTCGCATAAAAATATAACTTTGAGCCATAAACCTCACTTGGTTGCATCAAAAGCACTAAAAAGCTTGCCGTAAATCACCTACCGCAAGAAAGGCCTCTTGAATTAAAACCTGAACCGCAAACCGAAACGTAAGCCGCAAAATCATGTTCACGTGACTTTTTGCAGTTTGCTGTTTGCCGCTAACGCCAAACTAAAACTCTCTAATTTACAAACAATAAGATCACCTAACATATTTATATTTGAAGTCTAGAATATATGCATGAGTCTAGCCACTGCAAATGGTAAAAATAAGAGCTATGATCTCTGCTCTTTGAAGGGAGACTAAGCTTGCCCCCCCTGTCTATGCCACTGGCTAGAACATTCTATGGCCCAGCTTTGAGACTGCAGGATTATATTTTAATAAAAGGATTATGCTATACAATCAAGTATCTATAATGTGATGAATTAATAGAACGAGCAAGTTAAACTCTATAAATATTGTTTGTTAAAGCTCTGCATGGAAAGTAAGAAATATATTAAGTTGTCGATGAAACTTTATAAATTTATCGTGATTTTATTAAAACGTTTAGACCTGAAAGATTATGGCTGGACTTTTTTAAAAAATATTACAATAGCAAATGACTGCAAAGTAGAAAAAATTCCTATGGTCATGGTAACATTTGGGATAGGAAATTGAATTTGGACAAACAAACTATTTACATCATTCTCTATAAAAACTAATACATAAAGTATCGCTATCATTTATTGAAAAACACTTACTTTCAATTCCTTTTGCCATTCAGAACCTTTACAATTTTCCAGGTTAGTAGACAAAGACGAGTAAAAACAATTCTTTGTAAGTCCAAATATCTCTTCAAAAAAATACCACATGTCCTGTACATCTGATTTAGATAATGGCGTGCTTTTTGAATGAAGATGTACACCATTTTTTTCCAATATTATTCCTCTCTTTTGAAGATTAATAGCGTTGGCAATACACTTTGCCAAGCAACAAAAGAACTTAATTTGTTGCAAATAAAGTTCGTATTTTACTTTCTTTGCAATCCACAGCAACGTAGAAAGCAAAGCTTTTGTTTCTTCGTATTTATTTTCTGTGAAGATTGTAGGGCTGTAAAGAAGATTATTTCAGAAACATTTTTAATCGTTTCAGTAAGGATTTAGGATGACAGAGCAGCAGTTGACTTCAAAAATCTCATTGCAAAACCTTCCTGCAGATCATGTTGAAAAGCGCCTTAATTCGCTACCTGTTTCTTATAAATATTTTGCTAACTGTATACAACCAAAAATAACAATATTTTTAAAAATTAAATTCGAAGCTGAAACTGTGCAAAAATCTATTCAAATTTTAAGCCTAGTAGTCCGTGTGATTTTTTTAGAAAAACACCCAGAGTTATGCTTATAAACACTGCTACAAACGGACATAGCTATTATTAAGCAAGTTTTTAAGAACTTGCAGTCATGTTACATTAACTTTTCACATTTTTATGCTAATGTGCATGTTTACGACAGTGCTGAGGTTATAATTATAAACTTTTAATCGCAAATATCTTTAAACATGCTTTTTTTACATCCTTTTTTTGCTAGTTCACAATTTCTAGGCGTTTAAGCTAACTCAGAATTTTAACGGTCGACTACTTGGAAGTATTCTGTACTTCAATTTTGAATGGAATTCCAAAGGAAATGTGCTTTGCATAGAAAACTTATCAATAGTTACAAATTGCTGGCTGACAGTTACGATTAAAATTGTCTTAACGGATTTTTGTTTTGAAATTTGTACCAATAATTATTATTTTTGGAGAAAAACGTGCAAAAATTCTCTTATTGTTATGATGACGAAGAAAATAACAAAGACTATCCAGCATCTTTTATATAAAGAATAATTTTTTGGCTACTCCTTGCTCTCATCAATCAATGGAGTGAAATTAGTTATTTTTAATAAAAGTTAGGAGTCGATTTTAAAACTCTATTGAGTGTGAGTGAGCTTTCAAAATACAAGAGTTTGTTTTATTTGAATGGATTCAGCTCACATATAGCACATACATACATTTTGGGCACAATTCAGCTTGCTCGTGTATATTATAGTCAAATTATAATTACCTGGAACTAAAAATTACTTCACTCATCTGTTCAAAGAAATCGACAAGATGCTTAATCTACAAAGAGAAATTCAATCACTTTCTCAATGGATAAAATATTCAATAGCGATTTTGCTATTGTTGCAGGTTCTCTTTAACTTTTTGCCATTGTACTATTATACAAAAAAGTGCTCGTGGCACGAGTATATTTGAAACGTTCTAAATATTGAATTTAATCGTTTTATATTAATTTTTACGTAAATAGATCGGTGCCTATATGTTGTTCACTCATAAATCATTTTTCAGACTTTTTTCTTCAAGTTCTACAATAAAATAAACACCATTCAAAATAGCACGACAATCTTTCAGCACAGAATTTCGATTCGCATGTTTTCCGAAGTGTTGAGTTGCACACAATTTTTTCTTTTAGTTCAGTCATACTTTTCTTCATTAATGCCTGTACAACTTTCATGGATTCATCACAGTCAGCTACGAAGATGAAATAGGTTGTACCCTGTCATTCCAGAAATAGCAATCCTGTTGACGTGAACATTGAATTTAGTCGGCTTTAACGACACTTTCATAAATAAAGAGTAGTACGTTTTGTCTTTTGTGGCACACACCTATTATATGAACATATAAATTACTATTGCATGCACTCACCACATTTTGCAAGTTTACATCCGGTATCAGCTTTCGTATTGTAAAACACAACTCAAGCAAAGTGAAATGTTTTTTCTTCAGAAGGTCACCAAATATCTTTAGAGGACATAACAGTAGGTATGTACGCCTCAGTAAAGGATCAACATGAAACATTTTTTCTACATCTGGCAGTATATCCTTCAACTCACTACAAATAAACAGTAAAATATATATGTTATTTACTGTCTGGGAGGTACGCACGGAAAACGAAGTCTCAAAAGTAGCATGAGGCTAAAGCCTTAGGGACACTTTTGAGGGCGAGTGAAAATATTTTTTAAGTGCGGACTGACACAGATAATAAAGAACATGTTAAAGTAAGTGGTTTGAACTCGAGACAGTTATAGTTTAATATCGTTCAGAAGACAATTCTCGAGAAGGACTAAAGTGATTTAGTTGATTGATGTTTTCGATTGCTCTTATGGTAGTCGCCAGAGTCAGTCGATGGAATAACAACAATTAGCAGCTTAGTTGTTCGGTTCTACGTCATTGTACACAATACAATGATGCAAGAACTGTGACAATGTACGGCTAACCTCGGACGTTTATTCCCCATTTGACTCGGAAGACACTACCGCTGCTGTCGAAATGCCCCATCAAAACAGTCCTTCGTGACTTTTATTAACCTGGACGATCATCATTTACAAACATATAACGAACATGTTATTTTTTATGTTATAATGACGAATTCCGCGTTGTAAAATGGCCGATATGCGGCTTTTTTATACTGAAATTGCATTGTTGTTTTATTTTTGATAAAATTCACTTCATCTAGATGGTAAAATTCACTCTCCCTATTATAACTTTAAGCTGAATACCATTTGCTTTCTCGTTGAGCAATTTGCATCGCTTTCAATCACTGTTAAAAATTTAAAGTTCACTTTGCAATTGAATAGATTGTAAAAAAAACACTTTAGGACCACGGTAGAGATATCGTAAATAGTTGCACAATGCTGCAGTCAATCAAATTGAACGAAATCAGAAAGATCGCTTTGCATGCGTAAATAAAAGAATTAAAATAATTGAAATATCTTCTTGATTCAAATATTCTTCGTTATTTATAATACCTTTGTATGCGAGGCTACCCACATGTAAGATTTAAGTTTAACAAGAAAAAATAATAGTAATGGTAATAATAATAACAAATGGTTCCTCGTCTGACTTTGATTAAAGCTTTGTATATAGGTTAAAGAAGATGTTCAATATGTTTATTAAGCTTTGACGGAGATAAATATTATATGATTATTACTATCCAATATTACTAGAAAACCCTGGGCATTCCTTCTACTTACTGTATACCTTTGCACTGTTGTTTGAGAAAATAAACGTGGCTGCAGTCAACAAAAGACAGTTACTACAACAATGCTTAAAAACATCCTAATTGCTATTTATTTGATTCGTAGTAGAAGGGTTATGATTCTTACAAAACGGAGATTTTGGATCAGAAATCTCTTTCGCGAAAGTCCATTGAAATGTTTTGAACTTGCGAGCAAAACAATGCACTCAAAAGTAGAATGAACTCAACTTTGTCGCGTTGCTGTTGAGGTATTCGCGAGCACACGAGTGCTATTGACCTTTTGAACATAACAAAGGTGCGCATGCGTAATTTATTGAACGTGCGAGTATTTTGCGCTACAGCGTAAAATGCAGCTCCGTGGAAATTAGCCTTTAAGTGCCTTTAAACTTACGCAGTATAAATTTTGTGAAATTGCCGTGATATTTCGATCACAAAGCACAAATGAACAATCGAGATACAAAATTCGACCAAAATATAGCAAGCTAAATACTTGAATTATAAAACTGCTATAACTCGCACCATGCATGTGCATAGCTTTTCCTAACAGAAAACTGTCTGAAATCAATTGAACGAGTGAATGAAATGACAAATCTGCGACATTTTCCGGAGAAAGTGACGAAGGCTAAAAACGGCATTCTTCGTCATTGCTCGTAAATCCGACTGTCACCGACTCAGAAAGACACGCTGACACTTTTTCAGTAACATTGTCTTTAGCCGTGCATGCGCAACAGCTACCAAAAAAAGCTAACAAACCTGTCTCCCATAGAACTTTTAACTTCTCCGAAATCAAGGCCTTCCAAGCCCCACCATTTTGATTGCTTAAAATCAGGCGTTGATGTGTAGAGGACGTCTTTAAATGGTTCACATTCTCCACGGAGAAAATGAAGCAATGGTAAGGCATTAAGCCAGTGAAGCAAAGGCTTAGTTTTGATGAATCGGCAAAATATTTTAAAAATACTTTGAATGAAAGAGCTATAAAAAAAGAAATAGAACAATAAGCATGTTTTAGCACAAAATGTAGAAAAAAGCCACTATTTTCTAAAATAAGTACTTCTTGTAATGTTGCAGTGATGTTATTTTCTTAATAATCAAAGTTAAATATGTATAGAAAGACGTTAAGAAAATAATTTTAATGATTGAGCTAATAATTCATGTTAAATGGTCTTTGTATTTCAATAAGAAAAATATGCTGTAGAATTTTACTTAAGCACTGTAAAGCAAAGAAGTACAACTTTTGAAAGACTAGTTTGGAAGAAGAATTGTCTAAACTCTGATCTTTAATCAGCATTGCCCAGGTCTTTTACTTAAAAGTTCATTACTTATTTATTAGAGACAAAATTCAAAAATATTTTGCATTTAATTAAGAGAAAAAATGAAAGAAAAGTTGTCGTAATGTCTTTTCAGTTATGATTGAATCATGCCATAATGCTTTAGACTACAAAACATTATTCGAACTATGCCAGACTTTAAAAAAACTAGCCGTTGGTAGCGCAAAAACTAAAAAGGATAATGCAAACTAGTAACTCAATGCTTTATTAGCTTTAGGTGAAATGGCGAGGCTTTTTGCCTTAGAAACATTTTGGAGGCCCATAATTGCCCTTAACCGAGCTGCAAAAATCTCAAACGTCTCAAGTGATTATAATTTGTGGTCTTTATGAATAACAGAAACATGGAAGAGTAATAGCACTCAGCCACACATGTTTTTAATGGGTAACCATGCAAACGAAAAGTTCACACGTTTTTTCTGTCTTTTTGACAGAAATAACGAAAATAATAAGATTAAAATAACAGCTACAATTTGTATATTGATAAAAATCAGAAATCAGTAGCTAATTGCATTAAATACATTTTACAAAAAAATTCTACCTCAACAAACGAACCTTAAAATTTGTTGATCAAATGCATTTATAGTTTCCATAAATCTCATGCAAACAGTCTGATCTTCAGGAAACTTGAGACTCCGCAGAATTTTGTGGGCTTTTTTTTCCATTATCACAAAATCAAATTCTCCAAACACAGATGCAATCATAGCAGATGAAACTAAAGCATCAACTGCATCATTTGATTCATTTTCTACTCTTTCATTTTCCAAAACTTTGCGATTTGATTTTACCTTGGGCATCAACAAAGGAGTAAGGACCTGCAAGGAATGTAAATAAAATCACTTGAGTTTTGGAATAAAAGACTTTTACATTTGCCAGAAAAAGACAGGTAATAGTTTTATTTACTCTTTTTCTATAGCTATTTTGTTTGAAATCATTATGAATAGGAGCATGCAAAAAAGTTTATATGATAAAAACAAAACTTAAAAAGTAAAACTCTCCGAAAACTTTTTTTCATTATAACAAACAAGTTCTTTTTGCTTCAACTGTTAGTATCAAAATGTTTTTAAAGTGTCTTATTTCACATAAGTTAAGGAAAATTTTTTGCATCAAAATATAATTAAAGCATTTAACATATACCATTTTTCATTAATTAGGATTAATAAATGTTTTGCATGAAGAAACATTTCATCACAAAATTTTACACCTTTTTAAAATCAGGCTTAGAAAATTCTTGTATCGAGATTTCTCCATTATTCGATATCCACATCTCGGTAACCGCTAAGAGCAAAAGATGAAGCCTTTCCATCGCCTCATCTGGCTGCATCCTTTCTACATTCTCAGAACTGTTGAAAAACCCAATCCATCGCGGAAAAAACCACTGCAAGAATTCTTCTCTGTCCTTTTGTACCCACTCAAATTGTTTATAAAGTCGTCCAGTGTTCTTGTAGACAAATCCATCATACTTGTAATAAATTTCTAAAACAAAACACGTGATGATAGTTAACCAATCTTGCAACACGAAGTTTAAAAATTCACATCAGAAGCATAACTGCGCTCAAATTATTAAAGCTCGATAGAAAAAGTCAAGTCGCAGCACTGCAGTCATTAAGAAAATCCAAGTAATATACAAAAATATATGTATTTTCATCCGTATGCATATATATAATTATTTATCTAAAATATAACAATTTAAGTTTCATGCCAAATAACTTTCATACATAGCTACTAGCGCCGTTTTTATTCATCTAAACAAATACTAACTTTTATTAAAATACTTTAACTGCATAATTTCTTAGCTATTAATCAGTTTCTTAAAAAGGCAATGATGAAATTTCAACATTTTTTGTAATAGCTTACTTATGTTATTTGTAATGATCATACATAACGTGCAGTAAAAACAAACTTACTATTTTTCCTGCGGTAATTTGTCGGGACGTATAGGCAGCGATTTATAAGTCGAAAATTGACTTTAAATGATGATTCTACTTCCACCAACAACTCATAATTTGCTTTACCGTGAGACAACAAAACATATTTGTAAGCACAATTCATGTTTAAATGTTCTAATGGCACCTGAAGAACAGCTTGGAGCAACCACTGTTTCTTACCAAATCTATTAAAAAAAAAATTAAAAACACTCAAACATTCGTTTAATCATGTGAAAAACGTGTTTTATTTTATTATATGACTCTATCATTTGCGGCCGGAGATAAATTTGTTATTCTGGTATATTAAGGAGGTATATAAATACAGTTTCATATTTTTGTTATTTCTTAATTAGAAGATCTATAGGTGAAGCCAAAATGAATTATTGCAGCTCATTCTTGAAAGAGATTTATTCTTTATGAAATACAATTTTTGAAATTCAATATATGAAATTCAATATATGAAATGCGTCAATTCAGTTGAAACAGACTTCTATTGATTGCTCAGAAACATTTTGGAGGGTCATTCCTAGCCCTAAACGCTTTATTTGTACAATTAATCTTCGTTCCTATTTGATAAAGACTTCCCACTTGTTTAACCTAAGCCTTAAAATTCATAACGCTATGTTATGAAACTGTTGCGAATTTAAAAATGATGAGCAATAATATATTTTTACTAACACTGGATTGGATTATGATACATCACGACAATATCTACAATAAAAATATGCTATACAAACGGTTTTGTCATAACAGGTATTCCTGATCCATTCTCCCATCCTCGAAAAACTGGTCGGTCTCCATGTATGACAACCTTGAAATTCTCTTCTGTATCTTCTACAAAGCTTTCCGCTAAAACTGCTTTGAAAGTAACAATAAACACGTCTTCATCTTGCATTTGTTGATCTTGTTTCACCTCTCTAGAATTAAAATAGTAAATTTACAACAAAACTTGAGAAAGGGAGGAGGGTCGAAGTTTTAATTTGTTTTTTTTAAGATTAATACTTGATTAAAAATAAGGCATTTAAAAGGGACAACAAAAATTTTTCAACATAAACACGTTTCGACTTAACATTAAGTGATCTTCATTACAAATAAAGTCAATGAACTAAATATTCACAGTATTAAATACATAATATGATATATGATACCTATAAATTGATAACTATTAAAAACATAAAGTGTGATAACAGGTGTTCGACTATACAAGCGATACTTACATGGCATGTGCGTGTGATAAAGACAAATCAGAATAGTTAAAATCGAAAAAAGAATCATTCTTTAAATTTTAGAGAAGACTAAGTGATGGCTCTAAAATAGTGAAGCAAGAACGAGTGTATTTTGACTTGCAGTTAGGATTTTTTAGTAAGTGTTTGAGGGTGTGTAAGTTATTGTCGGAAGTTATTTGTTCTTTAATCCTTATGGCAAGATTATGGGTGACGGTGGTTTCACCGACAAAACGGAATTACATTCCTTGAAACTAAATTTTAGAAGCACCAAAGCTTTTAGATACACCGATATAACGGAGAGTGTATCTAACTGTTGCGGGTCGGGTCGCGTGTCGCGGGTGTAAAAAATACTTTTTTGCATGGTAAAGTTTGAAAAAAGTCAATGTTAAATTGTCAGGAATTCTTTATTTCTATGTATGCCCACTTGAATGTGCTCTATGAATCAACGCTCTCTGCTGTCAGCATTAAAACATGTCAATGGTGTTTTTAATCAACGAATGGTTGAAATAGATCTCTCACAGCTACATGTTTTTATTCCAAAGCAATTAACAGAGAATATATATAATATACAGCTACATGTAGTTACTGGAACTGTTCCAAATATTTTAAAGGCGGTGTGAATATTTGGAAAAGAAAGAACATCGACGAAAGGAAGCAACTCTTGAATGGAATTTGGAAGTGCAATCTTGGAGTTGTAACAGAAAATTTTCCACATTCTTAGTTCCATTTCGAGAAAATCAGGTAATGGTAAGTCATTGTGATATTTATCAAGAAAACGAGAAGAAATACTCGGCTCACTTTGGTTCACTTGTGACATACCTTGGGTAAAGTATACATGGCGTCAAGAGCGTCGAGATTTCCTTCTGAAAAACGGGACTATATCTGCCCAAAAAGTTGATCAGAAAGGAAGAGTCAAAGCTCTTTTATACTATTCAGACGTGCTGTCTGAAGGTACATTGACTCGATGTAGTTCGACCGCCATTTCATAATAAGATGAATGAACCTCGTCGACGTCAAACGAAGTTCGTTTATTGTCAAGTAAAGCAGAGAAACTTTTTCACGAGCTTTTCCAGCTTCAAGGGAAGCAGACTGTATTTACAAGGTTAATAGCTTGGTGTATATAAGAGAACGCTCTACGACAACAAGAAAAACAATGAACTCAAACGATTTAATGGTTGTTATCATACTACACGCTTTGTAGCACGTATAATTCTCATTTGAATTGTCAGTTCTCACCAAGAACACGAGGGACGCAAAAACCACCGTTAGCCAAAGGCAAGCCAACCATTTAAACTTTGACAACCATTTAAGACGAAAACATCTACCAGTGCTTTAATGAGGAGGAAGAGAGTAATTCGGACCAGGTTTCCAGCAATTTGACAGAATTTCGTACTTCTTCACTTCCAATACATACAAACATTACGTATGGTAATGCTTTGAGTGTCAAGTTAACAGTTGTACACGAGTAATTTCTTGAAATGTTGACGGTTGGTAAGTATATAACTATGCATGATTACAACAATAAAGTACTTTAAAGTTTAAATCCAACACATTTTATATTTGGATAGCTATAACAAACAGAAATATCCAAAGCACCGCTGACATGTTTTAATGTTGACAACAGAGAACGTTGATTCATAGAGTACATTCAAGTGAGCATACATAGAAATAAAGAATTTAATATCGACTTTCAAACTTTTCAATGCAAAAATGTGTTTTCTATACCCGCGACCCGCGACAGTTAGGTACACTCTACAACGGAATTACATTCCTTGAAACTAAATTTGAGAAGCACCATGGCTTTTAGATCATCGGGAATAGGGTCTCTAAAGCTAAATGGGTTTTTTATTTTGTGTGAGGAGAACACATACTTAAAATAATAGAGTCATTTAGCATTACTGCATGGAGAAACTTTTACTGAAGAAACTTTTACTGGAGAGACTTTGTTCACTTACTTAATATCAATGCAGGACAACTCAATTTATGAACTAACAGGGAAGTTCTGCTTTGACATGCTAAACGCATTTGATGATGTCAATACATAGAAATAGTCTGTAAATGGAACTAACTTCAATGTAACTTATTATACCCAAGGACTGATTATTATCTTTATAACATGTTATGTACTATGCACCTATTGTGGTGTCTTAGTCATTGTTTTTGTAATTATCATCAATTTGTTGCGCAATATGTAGTAGCTTGAGGGATGATTTACAATAAATAAATTAGTAAGACTTGATTACTTAGCAAATACGACGTTTCGTCGAAGACGTTGTCAAATTTAGTCAAAGAATAGTACGAAACAAGTTTCATAAATTTCAGCAATTTTCTGCTGGATCGTTTGTTCTATCGTTAAATTTTAAGCTAATTTTTTGACATCAAAATATACTGCAGTATAAAAACAAAATCATCGACATACGGCGTTTAGACTAAAGTTGTTTTGACTTCGAGGAAACCCCTGAAATCTGGGCAGGCCCCGCGATGTTTATTTGTTGTTTTTTTACGTTTAAGGAAACAAAACATTCGCAGTTTTTACCCTAGATATATATATGTAGGCTAATATAACCCTGTAAGATACAAATAACAAAGATATATCCTTATTTTTGTCCAAAAATTGAGTTTGTTTCCGGCATCAGAGATAAGACGTCAAATGGTATGTTTTCACGTCGTAGTCAAGAACAGATTGAGCCGGAAAGAAAAGGCACATGCTACGCCATTTTCACGTCTTAGACGAAACGTCGTGTTTGCTAAATTGCAATAAGTCGAATGAACTCAAAAAGGAAAAAGCCAGTCGTACCTTCTTTGACCGTCCTTTTGACCTCTAAGGTTTTCATTCTCATGATTTATTTCCTCGTCGATATCATCAGTGTTCTATTATAAGGTGCAAAAAATTTGTTATAACGGCAGATTTCATGACTTGCATATGACCTTGTCTGTTTATGATAAACGTTTTATAATCATGCATATTTACCTGGTCAGATTGAGATAAAGGATGTTCAATGGTCATTTCTAAAAGTGTCTTGGGACCAGTAACCTGGCAAAAAAAAACAATTACAATTGTAAAAAATTATAAAACATCATAACGTGTGTTTCTTTTGGAGAATATGTGTTTCTGTTTCAGGTGATCATGGAAGTGGTTATAGCAGTAATGATATTTAATATTTAATGGCATATTGATGACTCACTGTTCCTTTCGTTTTCATGCTTTTTCTGTTCTCCTTTTTAGATATGTTGGTTCCTGAGGAATAATTTGAGTCTTCATTGAAATTCGTCTCTAAAATGCCTACAAACAATTGGCAAGTTTTCTTTAAGCCTGGTACTTATCTGCGCTATCGGTTGCGTGTGATAATAGTCACTCATACAGCGCATGACGTATTCTACTTATGCAGATGTGCAGTATCATTTTCCTTGATTTTTCACACCTGCTTTTGCTCCAAATCTTATTAAGCTCGATATTTTCTGTACTACGTTAGTTCTGTTGTGAAGAAGTTGAAGACGACTAAAAGCTGCTACACCAAACTACCTGCACGAAAACCTGACAATTAAAAGGCGCATCACATCACTGTGTCTTTACCTTTTCATAAGTGTGGTTACAAAGTTTAAGATACTTTAATGACACTCTATCTAAGAAATGGAATTGTTTGAAAATAGTAAGATCTTTCACCGTTAAATTTCTTGAACTATATTTTTGCTTGTGTCATGTCTTTAGCGGTAAAAATTGCATAAGTTTGCATAAGTAGTTAACTTTGTATCTTTAACACAACTTCATATTCTTCCTAATAAAAGTAGGAAGAGCTATATGTATCTTATCAACGTCAGATAAAGATAAGCTTTTTCTACATTCCAATTAGCTCAGGCCTTGTTAATTGATAATATATATAAATGTGAATTAAAGAATTACCCATTTAAACTCTAAGTGTTTGATAGCCTACCACATTTCGTGCGTACACGGTGTAAAATTCGTAACTTGAGGCAAAAAAATAAACACACGTTCAACATTTGACAGCAAAAATTAAGGCACGTCTAAATCGTAGAAAACCACACACCTGCAAAGGTATAGTGTACGCAAAGCGCTACAAGCGACTCGACTCTAACAGCTCATGGAGCTCGTTAGTGGTGGTAACTAATTTTTCATTTTAAAAACTTAATTCATAAAGCTTTAAAAAGATCAGTTAAACTCTGGTAAAATAAATCATATTCGAGAATCATAAAAAGGCAATTGAAATTTTAAGAAAACAGAAAATAGCCCTTCGTTTCAAAACAATCATTGACCTTTTGAGGGTCACATACTTTGTTAATTATAGATTAGTATTTTTCATACTCAAAATAGTCGCCAAAATATTATAATTGGAGACTTCATTATGAATTACTTGCCGGAATTGTAGCGACAACCTTTTTATAACCTAATGATTAGTGAATATAGAGCTACCAACAACTAAAAACTAAGTTCGCTACTGAAATTAGAGTGAAGGACAGCTATATGTTTATATATTTAAGTAAGAGGTATCGAACTACTAAATGATCTAAAATTATTTACAAGTTCAATATACAGCTGATGTGATACATTTGTTTATTGAGGTCTGAAGATGTCAAAAACATGTCAAAACATGTTTACTTTAAAGAAAATTGTTGTTCACTTGAAATGTTTAATATCTAGGGTGCTTTTGAAGAAATTGTGGAAATATTATACACGACTTGACACAAAAATCTCCCCGTCTGACTTTTAAGCACTTGAGAGTGCACAGAAGAAAAACAAAGCCGATTTCGATGTTAACATTTTAAGAAATTGTCAGTTGTTCGAATTTTTTGCAAAATTTATTATTCAAATTCCTTTCATGCTTTCATTTCTGTAGTAGTTCTTGTTAAACTTGTTAATTTCTTAGAACTACCACGTCAATATGTTAATTTTTAATTTTCATCTTCAAGCGCATTAGCTACTTTCACAACTTCTCAATCTCACGCCCTCTTGGTTCAAGAAAAGTTGAGTACAAGTTGAGTGACTAGATAAGTTGAGTTAAAAGGTCTCAAGTTATTTGAATACATATACATTTACATATAAAGCCAATCGAGGATTCAACCATCATCAAAATAATTCAAAATAATCAATCCAATAATTGAATTCTCTATATTTTACTATAGGCCATCATCAAGCAGCCTTTTTGGACAAAACATTATCACTTTAGTTTTTTATGAAATGGCAAAACACTTAAATTGGTTCTTGCGGACCACAATTACTTGTAGATCGAGTGCCACGTATCTGCTTAACCAGTGAACCGGTGTGCGTTCAGTTCGGCTTAAAAGCACCGGTGTTTGAGCAAAGGCAACATTAATGTCATACATGATGAAAACTAACACCGAACTGTAGAAACGTTAGCTACATCGAGTTTGACAAATCGTTTAGTCCTGAATATTATCACAGATATAAACACAGTAGCGAAGTCACATGATTCCTATTCCTATGTAATGCAAATATTTCCGTGATCATTCACTGGAAAAACACTAAAGGAATTAACTTTCTGAAGACAAAAATTTTTCACTGAAAAATTGCTTTGGTCTTGCCTACGTAACAATTGACGGTAATGCGTTCCTTGACCCAATAACTCTTTAACAAAGTTAATTATTGCAATGGTTTTTAAAGAACTTCCTTGACGGTAAAATTTTGTTTTGAAATCAAGACAATTATCAATATGCAAACTGCGGCACACCTTGAATACTGACAAAAAAATTCCATAAATCGTAAACAGTAATAAACCAAAACAAAAATTTTACTATATATAAATGTACGCATGTGTAAAGTTTCACAGCAACTTAATAAATTGTTTTTGGGATTGAGTTGCTGCTCTGTAACATAAAAGTACTGAGGTCCTTCGTAGATCGAAGAAAATCAGAAATCGAAACCGGAAATAACAAAACGCAATAATTGATTTTGGTAAATACACAATTTGGAAGAAATGATATTTGAAAAAATTCAGTGTTACAAGATTATAATCAAACACTTACCCACTTTTTTATCCATACTTTGGTCAACGATTTTGGCATTGGATGATGTAAACGCTGTTAATTGAGATTGTCTCTTGTTAGGATTCTTACCTTTCTCTATTTGTAGGCTTAGAGACTTTGACCCATCAGCGCAAGGCTCCAAGAGCGCAAAATTGGAAGCGAAGAAAATGTCCTAATTACATTAGTAATTACAAGTTAAAAATCTAAAACACACTCCTCGTCCGAAGTGCACTTATTTCCAAACTATCGCGTATGATTCCGTCCACTGCTTTTTGAGTTATGTATAAACAAAGCAAAGTATTTGATTGGCTCTTATTAGACAGGCAAAGCCAATTGTATTAAAGTTCTCATGTTGGCTTGACTACGTAATACTTACGTGGTCATTGGTCGCGGCATAAAAAATAAGGTCATTACAGCCACTCAGCCACTGCATTCATAATTGCTGCTAATAGTCAATTGTATAGTTTGACTAAAAGAAACTCGGAACACGGCTTACAGCTGCACGTATTCTGATAAAATATACAATACTGTGTTGTACAGAAATGCCAGGGAGATTTGTTGATTTGGTTTAATCAAACTGCGTACCTCAAAATGGTTGCCATCAACAACTGCTTATATGTACAACAGTTTCGCATATAGCACCACAGTATATAGAATATACAGTAGGGCCACTCCATTGAATTTTCGTGCCACACATATCTTATTTTGCATGTGATTACCATATTGGCAGCCAGTAAATTGCATTGTGTGACCAATAGATTGACGATATGGCATGGCAGCCAGCTAATTAAATTTGGCCCTACTATATATTCCCTATACTGGTAGCACTAGGGATTATTGGAAGTTAAAAAGCAGCAGTCATAACTAACACTAATTTCTTTCTTATCCACAAGACTTGGAAATTTAAAAGTCAACATTGATCAAGGGGAATTATTCTGCCATAAATGATATGACTTTTGATGTTGTAGCGTTATAATACAGGTTTATCACATTGCAAAGCACATTCCCAAAAATCAAAACTTTAATATTTATATTGAAGGAAATAGTAGATTTAAACTTTTATCAAAGGTAGCTTGGTTAGTATAACGAACATTTTCATTCAGTATTTAAACGTCACACATGCACATTGCTGCTGGGTTAAAGAAGGTAAAAATTATGATATATTGTTTTTAACTACTTACTGATGTTCTCAAATGTTTTCTAATTAAATGACAACTGTTTTCTGTATTTTATTTAATTTTATGATGAGATTTTTGTAACCTGATTTAAAAAGTACCTATATATCTTCCAAAAAATCTTTCTGAAAATTAAATGCGCATTATCAAGTTAAAGAATATCAAGCAACTTATCGTCATTAATAAAAAAATTGTCGACTAAATCAATACATTCTTGAATTGTGATCATCACTTTTCTGACATGCAAGCTTCCAAGCTTCAACAGCATGTGCAACAGTAACTTCATCAGGTAAACTCTCCTCGAGATCTTTAATAATTTCACAACCATCTCCTTCAAGCTTTGCATTGATGTACTCTGCTAAACTATATGTTAAGGACAAAAATTGAAATCTTAGTGGTATGAGCTATATAAACATAAGCTTTTTCTAATGAATACAACTAGCTTTCTGTTGATACAGTTAAAATAAGCATCATCGACTTATAAAATGACAAAATTTGATTGAAAAATTTTGGAAATGTAAAAAGCAGATGATTGTACAATCAAACTTTTTCATGATTTTGTATTACCCTTTCCTTTGTGAAAGGACATGTTTCAACACTCTTTTAACATTTTTCCGAAAATAAATACAAAACATTTGCAAATGTTTGTACATTTTCTATCATGACTTGTTTGTTACAATTTTGAAAAACGTTTTACGTGGTAAAATAAATTTAGTATCGTTTTGTATATATAAATGGTTGTATACAACAAGAGTTTTCACGTTAGACAAAGTGGTCAGTTAACGCCTTGAATTCAGAAAAATTAAATCGTATTCTCCAAACATGCGTGTATTTTTACCATGATATAGAATTTGAAATAAACTATTCAATGAAACGCTAACAAGTGACATTGGTCCAAACAATAAAAACGATCGACCAACTTTACGATGTAAAAGTTGGGATATGAAAGAAAGGACATGTAGCAGATGTTAAATAAGCAGCACAACAAATAGTTATGTAGCAAATAGTTTTACTTACGGCCAGTGCAACTGTTCGTCTTGTGCATTTTTCAAAAAGAGTAAAATAAGTTGCAACAATTCATCAACGAAACGATCAATTTTGATTTTCTGTAAACCACGACTTAATTCAAACTTTATTTCCCTTGTCAGTGCTGTCTTTATCTTATCTGTTACATCGTCAAATGGTTCCTATAGCAATACCACAAAGATTTCAATATTCCCATATCATCCTTTGCCTTATGTTTTTACAGTTACGCACTATAGTCCATATACAGTTCTTAAATCCATATCAACATAAATTGTTTTTAAAGGGCTGAATATATCCGAAGAATATATCAGAAGAAATATTTTTCATTGATGTAATTATGGTAGTCAATATGAGCTGTAGTTGCTTTATAAGATTAACGATAAATTTTGCTGATTTGAAACAAGTAAAAAGCAGGACTCACGTGCAAAATAATCATTATGTTTACCTAACTGATATGCTCTTGATCGACATTGGTTTTGTTAGTACCAAAACAAAATATACGTATAAGATTTTATCTGTTAGCGCAATTAATACCTTCACATAAGAATTCGTACACGATTTGTACCAAAATATAATCTAGGCCGAACAAACCTGTTTACGTCTAGTCAATATTTTTGCTCTTTCTAATGATAACAATTTCCAAAGCGCAACAACATGTTGAAGCTGACAAATCTGCTCTGCCTAAAATATAATTACAGAAACCCTTATAGTACATGTTGAAAGAATGCAACATACTTTTATGGCTTTCCCTCTTTACACCTTTGTGGCAGAGGAATAGGATAAACACTCATAAGCCAAAGAAAGAGACTACCTTTACAGACAAAAGCCTTGAAACACACAATAAAGACAAGGGCTTAATCCAACATTCAACAAGAACTTATTTGTACGATCGCGCAGAACTACGGCTCTAGGACTTAAGCCCCTCAAATAATAAAAATGGTTGGTTTAAGCCCTTCCAAAAGGATAGGCAAAGGAATGCGAGAATAAAAAAATATTAATATCGAATTAAAATATCAGAGCTTCAAATTTAAAGAATTAATTTCGGTCAAGCATCATAAGCCTGGGCTTTAACAAACTAGTATCGAACGAAATTTCCCTACTTTTTTCTTCTTCTTTTGATTGCAGACAAAGGACAAACCCTTCAAGAATGTTATTACACGTTTTTGTTTGATAAAGAAGATTTTAGCAAGAGAGTTTTCTACAAATTTAAAGGTCATCCATTTTATTTACACACAGCATAGCTACCTTGCCACTTTAAACCGTTTCTAGGATCAATTTTCAATGCTGATTTGATATTCACTGATAAGCATTCCTGGATTTCCTCCAGCACGATAAGAAACCAATGACATTGGGAGAGATTTAAGAACGTCACAAACATCAGTGAGTTGGTTCAGTTCACTCAAGATCTGATCTTCACTGGTCGACTAAGTTTAATCTACAAACAGAATTAGAAACCATGGATGTTAGAAAAATAACGACATTAGAAAAAAATGACCAAAATCTTGAAAATAAGATCATTCATACAGAGCAGATTCTATGTAACCTGAATACATAACAGAAAATATATTTCGTTTTGTTTTTCCTTATCACAATTAAAGTAGCTAAATTAGCTCCTTTTCTTATTAAGTGTACCTGAGGGATCTTTTGATTCAACGCTTTAAAAACAGCTCCATCACAAATATCTTTGCTGAACACAAATAATTCAACCTAGAAAAGCAGAAAATTAATTTATGTAATTAAACGCAGAAAGAGCTGACAGGACCATAAATTCTCAATCCATATCATTTATATCCTTTTCTGCACAACATGGATAACATGGAACTAACATAAATTCAGGGAACTAACCAAAGATGTAATTCTAGGTTTTCCTCGAATAAATCTGTCGATAAGTTGTCTTTCTAAAGATTTCCAGTTGAACTTCACAACTGTTTTTTCACCTCCTTCACCAACTTTTAGTGAATAATCACAGTGAGCCAGGACCATCGGCAAAATATCTCTCTCTGGATCATAGGCAACCAAATGCCCCTTAGTAACGTTCAACAGCGATAGCTCCTCTGAACTATAAAGATGTAAAAAATATCTAGCTAACAGAAGGATAGCAATGAAATATTTATTAGGGTGAAAACCTGCTCTATAACGCAATCTGTGTTTTCAGAATACATAACCAGCCTGAGGAATAAAAGTCGCCCTTTTCTTAAAACATAAAATTAAATGAAGTTCTCAACAGTGATGAATCCTAACAAACTCTTGCAAAGTTTATCTTACTTTTTATCGTCCTTCAACAAGCTTTTACATCGTCCAATAAAATTGTTATGTAAAGATACAAGGTAATTTGTCAATGCCAAAGAACACTTTCCAAGTCCTTTCCACGAAGGCAATAACATCAAAATTGGAGTAGCGTTGATAACTTCCTTCTCTCTCATTTCTTTTGAAATTCCGTAATGACCTAACAAGTCAATTAAGACAACCGCAGTTATTTAAAGAAATCTTGGTAATACAAACAAAGTGATTTCAGATATTACTCAACAGAATGCATTAGTTAACACTTAATTAGGTACTGATTTGTCAACCACTGTTGCTCTCATACATTAAAACAACGGAAGAAAACACATCAGTAAATAAAATAAATAAATTGAAAAATTCACTCTACATAGCATCAAACTTAACTCAACTTTTATTTTGTCACTCACCATCTTGTGGAATAGATGATCTAATGATTTTCCAAGCCATATTGAAACTGTTGATTAAGGACTTCACATGCTGTTTTATATCAGGGTCTACAAACGAAAAAGAGAAAATCAAATTTAAGGACTATTTCTTTGCCATGAAAAAGTATTTAATTGATCAAAATGTGAGACAAATAAACAAAACAAACTTTCAAAGGGTAATGAATGATTTCAATTCTATTCCATTAATCTTGACGTCTTAGCTATATATCTCTCTAAGAGAACATTTGTCTATTTAACAGACCCTAGATGCAAGCTACGAAGAAAGATGAATAATCTTGAAAAAACATGTTACAGCAGAAAAGGAACACGCATAACAATTATTGGTATTTTTAAGT